CTTTGACTTAACATGTAAAAGGATATTTACTAAACTGTGAGTTATGCCAATTTATACTAAAATAAAGGCGAACAAAAATCGAATATACCATTAACCTCTTCTATATTAACCCCTAGTAATAAGTCCTGCATGTAGGGGCAGAGGCTGAGGCCTGAATAGGACATTTTCAATAAAATAATTAGAGGTAGATGATGTTCTTATTTATGGGGGTAATTGAACCTCAGCTAATGTGGGAATTTGGCTCTTACAGGGAAACTGGAGTCACTGAATTATAAAGTCCTTGATTTCTCTTTTATTGGGAGGTTTTGGTGCAGTGTTAAGTCAAGCATAACGTTGACTTTATTAGAGGGGCACTCTAGACCCATATGTCACTTAAATTTGCTGAAGTGCTTTATGTGTGTAGAGCGTGTTTTTATTTTACAAAAAGTGCAGATTTAAATAGAAATTGACACTTTTATAAAAGAACTTGGTTACACCTCCTTGACTGTCAATCAGACACCAGGTCCTGTTACTTCCTGGTTTGGTTATCTCAGTGGAACTAACCTCAAGAGGCAGCAGTTGCCCAGAGCACCTGCATTGGAAATACTTCTCATTGAGCTTCATTGGGGAGTCTGTGATTGGACAGCCATAGAAAGTATGGGTTAGAAGGGGAGGGGTTGCAAAGGCTGTAGACAAGAGATCTGCATGGCTGTATGTTTTCATTGGGGTATACTATCTACTAAACTGTGATTTTGAATTGTATTTTGGCACTGGAGTGCGCCTTTAACAGATATTTCACCCAACTCCTATTACAGAGAACACTGCGACTCAAACATTTAGTGAAAAGACCCTTAAATATTGGTAATAACTACAACACTTTGTAGGGGAGGAAATTTATATGAAATACTTTAAAAAGGAATGTGGAGCAGTGTTCAAAAAATAGAAACAAACACTTAAGAAACCCAAATTTATTTGCTCGTTCCATTGGTTTCCACAAAGATGTCACCTCTTTGAAAACTTCGTACTGTTATTTTTTTTGTGATATTTTTTATAAATTTTCTCCACTGTAGAATTTGCTGTGATTTGTCATTTGATTGCAAATCTGCGTATTTTTTGTTATCCAATAAATCTTCGAATTTTTTTATGAAATCATAAAAAAATATCTGTTTATTTTCTATGTATTTTTGTACAGGAAATCATTCCATTTATGATCTGTTTGTTGTGATAAACATCTTAACATATAAACTGTAAAATATTTACTGCGTCTGCTCTGCGCATAAAGCTGATTTGTGATCTAAGTGACTGTATATATTTGTTCAATAGCACAGGATGAATAAATCCGGTTTATACGTGCTGTAAGTGTGTCATTGCGATTTATAGTTTTATATCAGACTATAACACATTCCCAAAGAACATTTCTAAATCTTCTTTGTGATAAATGAACAAGAAGCTCAGTGGATAATCTAACAGACGTTTCTCAGGATTTATCGAATGCGCGACCCGGAACAGTGGGCTCCAAATTCACTATCTTTCTTTTCAAGAGGACCCATCACTCTCATTAGACATATTTATCCAAACTACTTGCAACAAATGTTTTTTGGTTTTCAATCCATGCAATTATTTTCGAGATATTTAATGGTTGATTCCAAGCACCATAACCACTACATTACACTGTATTTGTTATGATGCCACAAGTACTCTGTCCTGGTTGCCCGGTATTGAAGGAAACCATTTATCAATGGTTTGCTCTGTACCTGGGCCCCTGCCCGGCTCATTGGTAAATTGGTGATGCCCTTTCAGCTTCTGCAAATTTGCAGATCCTGGAAGTCAAGGCCGTCACCAATCATTGTCTAAGAGCATCGGTTGACCCCTCTCAGCCAATGACTGACATGCTTTGCAAGGCTAGCGTTGGGCTGGTTGACACTGCCAGAGGTGGAGACGGCAGCAGAGGGGTTAAACATTTTATGTGTAGCATTTCACAGTGAAACGCTGCACATACAGACTCCAGGCACCATGACAACTTCAAATCATGGAAGTTGTCATGGCGCTTGGACTAATCCTTTAATATTTAGGAACTATTTTCCTTTTGCTGTGTTTTGTGCCATGTGGGGTTAAAACCTACTTAAACTTATTGGTACCTCCATTTTCTGTCAACTGTATATGTATCACTGGATCCTGTACTGTGACAGTATTATGTGCTATGGACCAGGCTGGGGGCAGTATTCGGTCACTGTGGCTGAGTGTCAGATCGGCCTGGAATCTGGATTATGATTTTTAGGGAAGGTATATAACAGAACGGACATATTTGCCACATACAGTGACACTCATTCAATGTACATTGTCAGCTGTACTCTGTTATGAAATATCCCACAGCCTGTGCGTATTGTAGCGGGTAGCCGAGAGACAATGACTACAGGTGTTTAAATGTCCCCAGCTTGCTGACTGTCACAATCATTTTACAAATCGCTGCCGGGGCACACCGCAGGGACATTATCGATCTCTCTGCTGATCCAGTAACGACAAAAAAGAGGAACTGGGTCACATCAGCACCCAAGATCGGGGGAGGCTCCATGCCCCATGTAATCAAACTCATTTTTCTAACAATATAAAATCTAATTTTCCGTTTACAGGAGTAAAAGGGGTTTCTTTACTAAAATCAGTAGCTAAAAGAAATGACAAGTTTTAGGTCAAAATTGTTGATTGATCTAAAAAAATTCTCAAATTCGAACTTTTTTTCTCTTTTTCCTTTTCCTGATTTCTCCAAAATTCCCTGTTTTAGGGAATAAAATTCCCAAATCATGGTCTGACAGCAATGAGTAATCTCATGATGCCGATTATTGTGATTTGCATTTCCTATGAGGCGTAGCAAGTCATTTTGCACTCACTTACCTTGAGAACAACTCTAATCCATTCATTTACCTCTTCATTGACGCCTTATTAATGGGAATCACAATACTGGCTGCATTTACAAGAACTAATTGTTAAGGTCATTAAACATAAAGAAAACACAAGGAAAGTCCTTCTCTTGGATCATTGAGTTTCACATCATGGTTATGGGAGGGGTTTTCCTGGCTAGCGTTTAATGCAGGAGCCAAGGACACAGTATTACTATGAGATTTACAGATCAGAATACGGGGTGCAGAATGTCACTGGGTGCAAAAATATCTCAATCTACCACCTCCATATACCAAGTGACAGCGGGGATCTTGTAGGCTAATCGGTTTCATTACAAACTACAGTTCGTCCGATCTGAATTCACAAACTCTGAGCCAAAATGTACCCGAATCACGGGCCAGCTGAAACGCGTGGGGCACCAAATAACGAGATGATTGATGGAAAATAGAATGATTGATAGTCACTAAATGATTTCATTCCCAAAGATCTTTAAAAAACATCCATGTTTCTATATTTATATATTATATACATTTAATAAAAATATAATTTATAAATATAGATATTCTTACTGCTCTTTGTTTTCCCTATATTGGTTACGTTACGTTTTTCACTTGCTCTGTGAACCAAATGGCAGAAAAATGCTTCTATCATACATCCAAAATACATACATAATAAAACATGATATTTATACTATATATACATAATATAATATGATACAATATAAACATAATATAATAAAATATATACATAATATATGATACCTTCATAATATAATACGATATATATATATATACAATATATACATAATATAATATAACATATACATAATATACCACCATATACATTATATAATATGATATATACATAATATAATACAATATATACATAATATAATAATATATATATATAATATTATATGATACATAATATGATACATAATATATGATTTGTACATATTGATCTGATATATACATAATATGATACAATATATACATAATATAATACAATATATATATAATATAATACGATACATAATATGATACGATATATACATTATTGATATACATTATTTATATGATACAATAAACATATATTCTGGGTTCCAACCTATTGAGGTTACTGCTCTGGTCAGCACTCTTTGCCGACCAGACTGGTGACATTGTTTTTTGCAGCATTCGGCATGGCTGCACGTCACTCGCTGTATATTTTACTCAAAGTTGATGATTTACGGTTTTAACACAGCGAGACTGATTTATGAGCAAACAAACATGTCTTTCCTTTCTATGGCTTTTGATTGGGTCATAAATAAAAGTGTCTGTGGAAATGGCTGATTTACGGAGTAATTGGCAGAATGTTGCACAGAAGCCGGAATGTTTGCTAATTTTATCGATCCAAGTGCGCAGCCAATTGGCTGCATAAATTTGTCCCCATAATCACCCGTATGCACAGATCTATCAAGCAGCATTTCTCTGTTACTTAGAAAAAACATTGTCCTATATTGTTTTCATTTTTTTAAAGCTGATTAATTCAAAACCTCAGACTGTTAACTTCATAAATTTTGTTTTAAAAAAAAATAAATCTGTTTCCTTTTTCTAAAACTTTAAGCTACACTAAGGATCATCATCTGAGCCAATTCAGAGTGATACCATGAGCTTGTTTATTTGCCGTTGGGAATTAAACTGAAAGCTGTATGATAGGATGGTGCACTGGTGGGACACTGCGAGTGTTAAATCGAAAATCCCTTTTAAAAAAAAAAATGTTTTTATCGAGCATGTGTTACAATGTCAAATACTGTGGTTTAGATTTACATTAAACTGTACTTTGTTTATTTATGATTTTCTTACTGTAACGTAATCTACAATACGCAATTGCAAGTTATTATGGGATATTTAGCGTAGCACTCTCCTCTAACTTACAGCTGATAGCTACTTAATTACCTTAAGCACCCTACCCTCTCATTGAAGAAATCCAGAAGTGATCACATAAAATACTGTTTTGTAATTGCTCAAACTTTTGCAAAATCATGTACCTAATATTAGGACAAAAATAGTAGATGAGTTATGTAATGTGTTCCCAACGCGTTTTTAGTTTAAGGATGCATGTTTAATAACCGCTTGCTATTATGGGGGGGGGGAGCCTTAGCACTGGGATGTTAGGTTTCCTTCAAATTAGCCCACAAATAACCCATATATTTCCGCTGTACTTCATTTAATCCATAATGATCACTTTGCATATTAATTCATCGCAGTATTTGAGAAAAACATCCAGTGGATGCCCCGGAGAATGAAGCTTGGTAGCACAGTCTTTGATATAGTCCTGTGTTGGAGAATGAAAAGTCTCATAATCTCTTCCCAAATGACATTCCTACTTCTTCTTAGATTATTTCTCTCCCCTTTATCTCCTGTCCCAGCACAGAAGCCAGAATAATAATTGGGTATAATTCCACTGAAATTTCAGGCTGTCTCTCAAATTGTTTATTAATTTTCCCTAATATAATGACAGTGATGCATCCATCCATGAGATACTTGCTGATTCTTTCCTCATTTTCATAAAACAACAATTTTCCCTGTGGCAGACGTCAGTCTCATTTGCTAAGTGTTTCATTTTTCCACTAATCTTAAAAAAAACAAAAACCTCCCAAACACCTCCGAGTCCTCACTAAAACCCAATGTGGTGCAGGACAGGGGATAGAAATTGTAATAGTAATAAAGGGTCGGCAAACTGATCAACAAATTTCTGTGCCACATTAGTGGAACCTAAAATGGATTTATTTAAATGACCACTATAGTCACCCAGACCACTTCAGCTCAATGAAGTGGTCTGGGTGCCAGGTCCCCCAGGTTTTAACCCTTCAGATGTAAACATGTTTACATTGCAGGGTTAATCCAGCCTCTAGTGGCTGTCTTCCTGACAGCCGCTAGAGGCGCTTCTGCAACGCTCAATGCGAAAATTGCCTTGAGCACGCAGAACGTCAACAGGAAAGCATCGAGCAATGCTTTCCTATGAGTGGTTTGAATGCGCACGCTGAACTGGCCTCGCATGCGCATTTGGCTCCACTTGGGAGCTGAAATCGGAGAGGGAGGAGAGGTCACCAGCGCCGAGGGAGCCCCGCGCTGGATAAAGGTAAGTGGCTGAAGAGGTTTTAACCCCTTCAGCCCAGCAGGAGGGGGGCCCTGAGGGTGGGGGGAACCTAAGGACTATATAGTGCCAGGAAAACTAGTTTGTTTTCCTGGCACTATAGTGGTCCTTTAATATGCTCTGCGAGGGAGGGATTCAGTAAATCTCACAATAAATGTCAGTAACTGCGTGATTTAATTTTCCTGCACAGCTGCTTCGTAACTGACAATGGACAGTTGGATTGTAAATGCGTGATTTAAATGGCTGTGCAAGTTTTTATTTTGAATTTAATCTGTATTGAAATAAAAGAATACAACTAGTTGTCTTTGTGTATAAAGACAAAAAAGAGGATCAAAGATTTTATAAACACAGTAAGTGAAGAATACACAACGTGAAATATTAGTGTAGTGTACACAATGAGACGGGCAACAATGAGCATTCTGAAATTTGTTTGAAATGTAATAATAAAATGTAATAAATGCCACAATTACCAAGAACAATAATTTATTTATAGAAAATGATTTGTTTATTATTATTTTTAGAAAACTCTGGTTTAATGAGAGACAAACTGAACTACCAAGCAGACTATACATGTAAGTATTCACAGCAAGGAAACCAACCTTCTACGTTTCCACCAATTTCAGTGTTTCGTCAGCTCAGGCCTCCTCTTAGAACGATGTGCACTCGCCAGGGACAATGTTTATAGTATCATATTGAATGACTGATTTAATTCTGTGACTTGTTTGTGTATTCAGATCTTGTCTTTTAGTGTGAAAACCTAAAAGAATTGGATCTCATAAAATACAAAATACTTCATTAGGGATTTGAATGCCAAGAAGCGGCACACAGACAGCATTAAAATCTCCTTACTTGTTCCAAAACGTATATTAATTTGAATGTACATTAGTATAGAAAGTATAAAGGATTGGGCCTGGTGCATATGGTGGGACTGTTCTTTTAAGTGGTAACATTGAATTGCATTTCCATTTGCCCCATTATAGAATGTAAGCTGGTTTGAGCAGGGCCCTCAACCCCCTCTTATCCTGAGCTTACAACTAGTCTTGTGGCTAATACCTGTCTGTTAGTCCACCTATTGTACAGTGCTACAGAATTTGTTGGTGCTTTATATATAATAATAATGGCCAAGATTTATAAATATTATCCCCAAGTATCAGACGATCTGCTGATATTGTTAGAAGCGCAGTATACCTCTCTTTGTAATGTACCATCCCAGCAGCAGGCAGGAAATCAGTACAAATCTCTGTAAACGCTCGCTTGTTTCTTACAAACTGGAAATATGCGATACGAACATTCTCAGGGTTATTTACCAAAATGAGAATTGCTCAGAATTCAAAGTGAATTTTAAATTTAAGGCCAAAATAGCCAAACGGAAAACAGAAATAACTTGGAGAATTTCTCTAATTCTGCAAATTTTTAGATTCCCTGTGAATTCCAGGCAATTCTTACTTTTAGTGACTAACCCTATCTGTGTTTTTATTGCTAAAAGGATAAACATATAAAATGTACATTCACCCAGAGCAATTCCTCTTTTTTTCTGAATTAAAAAGTTTATCAGAGTTATTTTACTTTTTGAAAAGTGAGAATTGTTGGAACTTCAGACTGAATTCAAAGGGAATTTTAAATTGAAGGCAAAAGTAATCAGATTCTGAAAAAATGTCCCAGTCAGCTATGATTCCAGTCTGTCTACTTTGACCTTAAATTTAAAATTATCTTTGAATTCGCAGTGAATTCCAGACATTATCACTTTGGTAAATAACCCTATATTAGTTCTTCATTTTTTTAACGAATATACCGATATTATTAAACACAGAGAACCAGTCCTGATTAAATATCTCCTTACAACAGACAAACAGTAGACTTTTTATACACTGAACATGCACAGAGCTTTCACTTTGCTAAGTACACTTGCTTAATAATTGAAAGGATACACTACTAGAGTGGATTTATCAACTATTGACCAACCACTGGTCTCTGCTCCGTGTCGTGTGTGCACTGAGCTGTGTAAGTGGCGTTTAGTAGACATGGAATAATTCTAATTATAACCAGCATTTCACTTTGTGATCTGTACTGAACTAACACTGTGATTCTTATGTTGGGGGATGAGCACCAACTGTTTTAAAACACTTGCCCCTCATCATTTTATGACCATCACTGAAAATGCCTCGACAGTTCTAATTTGTCTCTAAAGTTTGTCTTAACTTTTCTTGCAGCTTGAAAAGGATGTCTGTAGTGTACTCAATGTACCCAGAGCCCTACCTACCCTTTTTTCCCTTCCAAGGCTGTTAGATGTAGTCTGTCTACATACAGGGTTGTGAGGAATAGGGTTTAAACTTACAGAGAAGCCAAAATATATTTATCCTGTAAAATGGTGAAACAGAAATAGTTTTGCCACCACTCCATAGAAAGAAAACGTTTGTTATTTCAAATTGATTTGTTAAGGCATCTACTGTTGGCCAGCAGTCCATTGGGCATTAGCAAAGTCTGATCAAGAATAACACAACACTGATCTGATAGGAGCTCCGACAATGTGAGCTGAATCTAATTATAAACACAAAGCTGTCCAATGGTTCATTTTCTAAGCTGTCTAAATGTCAAAAGATTCCAGTGTATTTAATTTATATCTTTGTGGAAGGGGTGATTTGGATAGAACACCACGATCTGACTTCTCCGTATCAAACAGTCGGAGACAGGGTCATAGAAAGTTCTTAGACACATCGGCTTGTTAACTTATGTAAAGCCTTCGTATTAAGCCTTGCAGAATACAAAATTTCTCTTTTTTTTTCCTTTCTACATGAATAATACATATTTAGACGTGTATTTTAAGCTTGAAGTATAACGAACATGAAAGATTTCATAGAAGATCTGACAGGCAAATGAATGGAGCATCAAGGGATTGATTTTCCTTTGTTAAGGAAACATTATATTAGATACTTTGTTCCATTAAGGGAACATAAAAACCCCCTTTTAGTCCTATGTAACCCTATAATTCCTGTGTATTGGTTTTTGATGTCATTGCTACATTCCTTTATTTTTTTTGCAGTGCACAATTTAAGTAACAAAACTGGTAAACAGTTTAACAAAATGGTGTTTGAAAAAAAAAATCACAAAGAAAAGGTCGAATTTGGCCTTCAATATATTATTGACAGACGTCGTAGAGATTATTATTTCCTCTAGTGGCTGTCTCATTGACAGCCACTAGAGGCGCTTGCGTGCTTCTCACTGTGATTTTCACAGTGAGAGCACGCAAGCGTCCATAGGAAAGCATTTTAAATGCTTTCCTATGCGGGCTGAATCTTGTGCGCGCTCTTGCGTTCGCATTCAACCCAGGAGGGAGGAGGAGAGAAGGAGGGAGAGCTCCCCGGCGCTGGAAAAAGGTAAGTTTTTAACCCTTTCCCCCTTCCAGAGCCGGGCGGGAGGGGGACCCTGAGGGTGGGGGCACCCTCAGGGCACTATAGTGCCAGGAAAACAAGTATGTTTTTCTGGCACTATAGTGGTCCTTTAAGGCTGTTCACCAGAATTCCATGCAGATTTTTGTGATCTGTACTTTAGACTTTTTTTTTACTCTACTAAATAATTTATTTTCTATTACTTTTACTTAAAGTGCTTGCTTTATCAGATTTTGTACAGATTTTTTATAGAAAATCCAGTATTCAAGGAGTCAAGACGGAATATTTTTCCAAATTTGTGGAATTGCTTCAAATTTAGTTTTTTTCGTCATCTTTTAGATTAACAGCAGCATCACAGATATGTGAAAAGCTGAATTTGATGACGTGTGTCTTTTTTCAGCCTCAATGACCGTGTAGCTGTTTTTCATATTTAATAATATGAATACTCCTTTTTAGTTTACATCAATATTTAAAACAAATGACAGTAGATCTGTAAAATACAAATACAATGGTAATGAGGACAATATAGTGAACAATAATCCAAAGGTGAGGAAAAAAGTTAAATAAAAAAAGACGGATACAGGGCATGACCATAAAATGTCTTTGTGGTCAACCAATGGCTTCTAGCTGTAGTGAGAATTTACCTTATTACTAAGTATGTTTGTAGACTTCATCCTATGATGGTCAACTAAATACGACAAATGTGATTCTCACGCATCAATAAAGATAATGTCACTAAATATGATTATTGCATTGTTTTAACATGACAGAGGTGTGTGTTTATCTGAGACGCAAATGGACTGGAAGAAATGAGATTTATTTAAGGCAAAAAAAAGGGTTTTTTACTGTAAGAACAACAAGGATGTGTTCTCTGCCTGAATAGGTGGTTTTATCAGAGTCTGTACAGATATTTAAATAGAAATTTGATAAATACTTGCAAAACATAACATACAGGGATATCATTTCTAATTAGTGGGGTAACAGTTTATTGATCCAAGGATTTATCAGACTGCCATTCTAGGATCAAGAAGATTTTATTTCCTAGCAGTTTGTTGCAAAATTGTATGTGATTCACACTGGGTTTTTTTTTTTGTCAAATCTGTATTTTATTGAGGCATATTAGATGGGATACAGAATAGAGAGAGGGAAATGTGCATTTAGAATACAGTACAGGGCTCAATAACAGTGGTATCTAACATTTCCTTAATATTTGTACCTCTTTTTTATGTTTTATGGTTTAACGTTGCTTTTGTAAACAGGTTTAGGCAATATGCAATTTAAGTCGCTTAACATTGACTAGTTGTAATAGGTTAAGTGAGCAAGTTTTGTATAGGGTGATTGCACAGGCTCAGTAGTTCCCTGTTGTGTCAGGAGTAGGAAGGCATGTGGAGTCGGTGCAGTAATTGTGGGTCGAGGTCCCCCTCCAGCCCCAGGCATTTATGGAGGGTGGCATCTTCGGACCACTGACTCGAGGGCTCTGAGAGATCGAGGCATTCCCTTGTCGGGTGCAGGTGGAGCCGGTGTATCTTCGCCACCTGCGGCGGGCAGTCCCCCTGCAGGGTGGTTGATGCTGCGGAGGTGGTTTCCTCACGGCCCTCTGCCTCGGCGGGCATTGTTCTTGCGTTGCTGGTTTGGGGTCAGTTGCAGTGCCCAGAGTGGGGCGCCTCTTCCCCTTGTTCCCACCTCTCTTATTGTGTACTGTCTGCTTGTGCGGCTGTATTTTTCTCTTTTCTCCGTGGGCACGGTCGTGTTTACTCGTACCTGTTAGGGGTTGCAGGGTCGCTTGAGGTGTTTGCAGCTTTTTATTTAGCTTGTGCCAGAATTGGGCAAAAGCAGCTTCTATGCGCCTCACATCTTCGCTGTGGATCTCCGTTTCAGATTTGCAGTGCAGCTTGCCTGATGTGCTTGCCGCCGCCATTTTGGGTGCACCACGCGCCCGGCTGCCCTTGTGTTGCAGTTTGTCGAATTGTTGGTTCAGCTTCTTGCTGCCCTTGCTGTCGTTTGGTGCGGACCGAGATGACCCCCGTCGGTCCTGAGGGGGGGGGGGGTAGAAGTGGTCAACCCCGAGGGCACTACGTTCAGGTCAGTCAGCCCAGGGAGCGGCCGTCTCCCCGCAGCTCGATCTCCGGCAGGCCTCAGGGTATCTCGTTGGGTCCCGGGGGGTTACAGGCTTGTATGTGGTATCGGGCGATTCCCCCGGGTGTCCCCTTCAAGATAGCCTTCCTCTAGTGTATTACCCCCAGAAAATGCAGAATAAAGCGGGAGCTGAGGTTCAGCACAACCGCTCAGTCTAGATGCCAGGCTCCGCCCCCCCCTGGGTTTTTTTTTTTTTACCTTCTTTTGGATCAACAGCAAAAACAGATGTGAGATTGGCTGAACTTGGTGGTCTCTTTTCAGATATATCTTACTATGATGTATCTATGAAATGTAGCCAATGAACAATAACTAACTTAAGTGGGTACAGCCTATTATAGTCACACTCACTAACGTCTTTACATTTGACTTGTCTCTTTCTCTCTCTATAGTAAAAACTATGTTAATTATAATAATACTGTCAACAGCTTTTGATAGAAAATTTATTTTTTAAATGTATTATATATAGAAAAGGAGTCTTTTAGAGGAGGAATCATTTGTTGGAGATTTTTCCCTGTGTTAGAAGAATTGATGATGGTGAAAAATGGGTTACAGTCAGTTACTATATTGATCTGATTCAACAGCTGGAAAATATCTTAAATATGTTAGCATAGTGTCTTTAATCAATCTGGAATCTTTCTGACATTGCCACTGGTCAATGGGAGAATGTGAAAAAAAGCTAAGCAAAACATTATAAGTGTGGCTTTGTCTCTTGACTACTAGCAAAAATAGGCACAATTTTAATAGTAATATTAATTAAAACATTAAAAAGTATATATAACACATATAAAATATATAAAAAATATAAAAATATTAATTATTACTCAATGTTAAATAGAATCTTGGAAAAGTGGGGATTATTATTGAGTAATACTGGAGACTGTTTATATGGGACGTATATTGACTGCACTTCACCTTGACAAAGCCTACTAAAATGGGTGAAACGCGTAGGCTAAGTGCGGCTACGCGTTACATAGCTCGGAGCTTGATTACTTGATTACTATGTTGAGGCCTGTGATACTAGGTGTTTATACAAGGATATACATATCTCTATATACCCACTGGTAGAAAGTCAGTTCAGAAAAAAGGGGGAGCACCGGAGGTGAGCGGTAAAAGATTTCTTATGTATTGGGTGATATCAGTGAGCCTTAGAAATAAGTGTCACCATCACACACTGCATTTTAACTGGGAATCAGATGAAAGATTTGTTGTGAAAACAAACAATTTTCAGATCTGCTGATACAATTATCAGGAACCATGGAATACAATGCACTATCTGATTGCAGAAGGTTTATGAAGATAGTTGCAAAGTGTATTGGCTTATCCTGGTTATTGTATCCTTACAATTAATACTGTTCTTGTACCACATAAATGGGTGTTGGTATTAAACCAAAGTGAGAATAAAATAGATAATGTGCAGTGCAGAGCATCTTTTTCACCCCTCTCTTCTTTCCTATATTTTATCTTATTTGGGTCATTACTTATCTTATTTTATCTTATTTGGGTCATTATTTGTAGTGAATCACTATTCACTACAAATGTCATCTTTACAGAAAACTATGAATATGCATTTTTTTTTAACTCTAACTTATTTTTTATGCTTTCATTAAAAAATATACATTAAAAATCACATATATAAGAAATGAACACACTTATGGCTGTCAAGATCGTAAGCACTTGTAAATGGCAGAGACTATCTTTAATATATCAGCCTTAATGTATGACCTTTGGGATCAACCCTTGATAGTCCAACTTGATACGAACTTGCACAGAAAATCTACAAGGGTGATATCTATCAGCAGTCATTAAGACCCATATTCCACTCTGCTTCACTCCCACCCTATTTGATATTTCCTGTCCTAACATTTCTAATACCTCACCTCCTAGAGTCTGTAAGCTCGTTTGAGCAGGGTTCTCTTCAACCTATTGTTCCTGTAAGTTGTCTTGTAATTGTCCTATTTATAGTTACATCCCCCCTCTCATAATATTGTAAAGCGCTGCGGAATCTGTTGGCGCTATATAAATGGCAATAATAATAATAGTAATGTTCAATTAAAATTATGGAAAGTCCTCAGCTAGTGGACCACAAACATCTGACTTGGACCCAACTGCAAACCGGAATATAAGTGGGGCAATTCCACTAGACCTGATATTGTGTTTGCATTAAAAATGCCTCTTTATTACTGAGGTGTCAGTGGTCAAAGATTTTAATAAAATTCAAAACTGTTATCTGTCAAAGCCTATACATTTGCAAGCTACTGCCCATCAAAAATAAAGAATGTAAAAAAAATAAATAAATAAAAAATAAAATGAAATATTTTAATAAAATTTGATTTTTGCACACTCTGAGCTTTGAGGATAGCATGAATATGGGAAGAGATCAAGCGCTCTTCTCGAGGAGTTCCCAGAAGAATTCACCATCTTTTATGCATTACTGTTTGAAAGTCTGACCTTTCCGAATAGATGTCTACGGCATTGTTTCTCTTCATAGTTGGTTTAATATTTTGGATAAGCTTTTCTTTCGTCTGAAAGATCCGAGTAGGCCTCAGGGTAGTCGGCCATCTTTGGCCTGCTTGCACCTTGTGCTTGCTTTCAGAGGTTGCCGATATTGAGACCAATATGGGGCTTGTCTGCTTTTTTGTTTTTTGGTCTTTTGACCCATTTTGTGTTCTCTGCCCGTCTCCTGTACAGCGAGCTGCCTAAATTGAGTTAATCGCTCTTTTTTTGGTGTAGATAGATGTAGGCTCTCAGAGCTCTGAAAATGTGCAACCATTTGCCTCAGCTGCGAGCTCTGCCCTCGATATCTTTTTTTATATTTTAATATTTTGAAATAAAAATCATTTTTAAAGTGTATCCAAAAATATTTTATCACTTGAAAACTTTATTCAAAAATATTAAATGGAGGCTATTAATCAGTTAAACTCACTTTCTATACATTCAAAGGTGTTTAAAAAAAAAATTTAAAAAAAATATTGGGATAGAGAGTTGAAAAAGTGTGAAGAATGTCAAAAAATAATATTTGTCAAAAAGTTGCCCTCAACTCTCTTTGGATTGTGATACTGTCCTCTCTTGATGCACAGTGTAGTGGTCGATGCATCAATGGGGTAGTGTACATTCTGCTTCACATTATTATTACGTTACATTTTACAACACAATTACCCAACAGACGAGTAGAGAACATTTTTTTTAATTTAATTTGCACTTTGGGAATCATTTGAAGATACATTAATCAGGCTGTAAACAATTCTTTAAAAAAATTTAAAATAAAATAACGATGGCATTGTGGAAGAAACAAGCATTTTGTAAGGAAATCAGTTGAGATTTGTGCATTAATTCACAGGAAAATGTATTTTAATATATTTCAAAATTTGTGCTTTATGGCTTGTCAATTTTAATTAGAATATTTTCCCATCTCAAACACTTTAGTTTTCAAAAATAATTTCTGATGTGTCCTGACAGATTTTTTGGCACACAGAAGGGTTTAATAAACATTCTGGGAAAAAAACAATTATTTTGCATGAGCCTTGCGTACATATAGGAAATGTAGATATGATACAGAAACGTTTTTTATAAAACGTTCATTCCAAAAACGTATTTGTTGAAATTTAGGCCTCAATTTATAATTTTTGGATTAGGTTTTCAAAGGATCGCAATCTGATTGATAAACTTTTCAAATGATTTATTGACAGAAGTCACCATTAATGTCTATGGGGATTTTTATAGATAAATCATTTAAAAAAAAATTCTAACGGGGACGGATCTTGCAAGCACACTGAACCAGACATCATTTCTAATTGCTCCTTAACAAAACCCATCAATCCACACAATATCCCTGATCCTGTGGCCTATCCAGCCCTCTAACCTACAGCATCGGAACCGGCAAGAAAAGCCTCACCGGTACGGAAACGTAAATCCGGGGCCTACTTCACACCCTCGATCCTGGGCCTCGAGCAGTTCCTGCGCAGATACCCGCTGGCCGGAGTGGACCTTCCTCCCTCACCCCCACAGCATAACCGCTCAGTGCACTTGCCGAGTATGGTTGATTCCAAAAACCTCCAGCTGAGGAGAATGACATCGGGTCGCTGCTGCAAAGACCTGCGCCGCCCAAAACAGTACCTGCACCCGTGGAAGACTGGCAAGCAGCTGGCCGCGCTTTCAGCCCAGAAGAAAGAAGACCAGAGACTCCTCCAAACACATGGGCACTGCAGCAAACATCACCCGAGGCACTAGATGACTTGGCTCCTACTACCAAGAAAGATCTCAAACTCCTACTAGCAGAAATACACAAGCTCCTAGCAGCTGAATCAGCCCTCCTCAAAACCAAATTGTGGGCTGTCACTGACAAGGTGCAAGCCACAAAACAAGACATGGTGAGTGTCCAAACCCACCTGACAACACTAGATGACACAGTGCACCAGCTCCAATACCAACAAAAAATGATGGTGCTCAAAATAGCAACCATAGAAGACTGTCAGAGACGCACACACATTAAAATCAGGGGAGTACCTGCCGCAATCTTAGCAGAAGAGCTACGACATTATGTCAGATGCCTTCTAGCCTCCATACTCCCCCATGCTGTGGCACAGAGAATCACCATAGATGAGGTCCCCTGCGGTACGAGATGTGATCTAATGCTGTGTCTCAGTTCAAGATAAGCTTCACATCATGGCTGCACTTAAGGGCAATACGCCTCTACACTTTGAGGACTTGTCCCTCACCTTCTATCAAGACCTGTCAAGAGCCATGCTACTGTGGCGCAAGTCCTATGGTCCAGTCACCTCGCAACTACGCAAAGCAGGAATAGCATACCGATGGGGAGCAGGTGGCTCACTGTAAGTTACAAATGCAGGGTCTACTCAAGTCCTATTCTCAAAGGAGGACGCTCCAACCTTCCTGAGAACTCTTGGTCTGTCCAAGCTAGAAACAGCAATGCCAGCAACAGTCTCCAGAGAAAACCGGGACCCCACCACCACTACAACCTTGCCCCTAGAACAGGAGGAACACAGCCTGCAGTGCCATGAACATGGGTGAAAACAGACCACATCGAGTTTAATTTCTGTTACTCACAAAGTTTGTTTATGTTTATATGTTATTGCATATTCTCTCTCTGACCATCTTTACCACACACTAGCAAATGACTTACCTATGGCAAGACCCTAGGGCCCTACACTGCTTGAAAGCCTTCATACAAGGCATCCTAATCAACCCCCGCACAGCCCGCTTGGTTAGGGGTATCCACTCCCAAGGTGCAGGTCCTGAAGGGGCAAACCCATACACCCAAGCTTACTGCCGGCTAAAACTCCAACCCGCCATGATATTCACCTCATACACAACCCGTACGCTCACAAAGACTTACATCCAATCTAAGCCACGCTCTAAATGCTATACAAGTCTTTGACAGAGCTAAACAATAGTGCATCTCAGCATGTAACCTAGAAGCCGGAGCACACTATAGCACTAGCGTTCGCCTAGCATCAGCCCTATTGATGACACCAGCCTGACACACAGACGTCTCTACCTCTTAATCGCACAGTTTTATCAACCACACAATTCTATAGCCAGACTACATGACTGCTGACCCAACCAGTCCCCCAACCAATAAACCCGTTGCCCCCCAAATAATACACGTGACACATTCTTCTTGTGGATAAGGGCAACGGCCACAGCTTTATTTAACATAATAATTTTTTAACTTAGTCCAACTCTGCCAGCTGTTGGGTGTTTCCCAACAGGCAGTTCTCCCAACTTCTATACCATGAGCCTCGACAGCCGGCTCCTCGCCATCAGCTCCGTGCAGGCTGTCGTCTCCCCAAAGCTCCTTTTTTCTTCTGCGCTGTCCAGGGAAACCCGCCAAGCTGTGACAACACAAAACAAGAAAACAAGACACAAGCCACAACACCAGAAACAGGGTGGGAGGGTGGGAAAACAGCCAAGATCCCTCAATGAACCTGCTGACTGGTAAGTCCCCTCCCTCTCCCTTTCCTTAAGAACCACAAATGTATCCATTTTAACCCAGCCCCCAATCTTGGGCAGCAGTCATGCTCCCCCTTCCTTATCCTTCCAGGGGGAAACTTGACTGCTGACCCAACCAGTCCCCCAACCAATAAACCCGTTGCCCCCCAAATAATACACGTGACACATTCTTCTTGTGGATAAGGGCAACGGCCACAGCTTTATTTAACATAATAATTTTTAACTTAGTCCAACTCTGCCAGCTGTTGGGTGTTTCCCAACAGGCAGTTCTCCCAACTTCTATACCATGAGCCTCGACAGCCGGCTCCTCGCCATCAGCTCCGTGCAGGCTGTCGTCTCCCCAAAGCTCCTTTTTTCTTCTGCGCTGTCCAGGGAAACCCGCCACCGCGATGCCCACCTCGCGCACTACGCTGCGCGGGCATCGCGCCCCCCGCCGACAGCGCCGCCTCAATTCCTGCTTGTAATCCCATATTGAAAATATCTAACCCAATGGGGGACAAATGAACACCATCCCGTCTCATGACATCATCGTTAACCCCTTCCAACTCAAAGTGCCTCACAACTACACCCCCCAGTTGGCGTACAAACCGAGACATGGTCATGTTAACCTTACGCCTATAGCGCTCCAAAGCCTTACCATGACCCCCGGACCGCCACACCGGGCGCGGAACGATCTCGGACCAGACGAGGGTCAGGTCCCGGAACAACGCAAAACAGCGGGCCACGTCATGCCGCATTGCACGAACTAGGTCCACCGACCGTCGCCGTCCGACATCGTTCCCGCCCACGTGAAGTACCAAGGTCACCGGCCCTGACACACAGCACCGGAGCTGTACCAGCTCGGTGTACAACCCATCCCAGGACAATCCCCGAATCCCCCTCCAACGTACCCGTGCTACCTCGTATGATAAACCGAGGTTACGGCCATAGGGTCTAGCCTCCGCACGCCTAGCAGCCCAATAAACAAATGAGTGTCCCACGATCCAGACAAATCGAGGAGCAGGACCTATAATGAAAATAACAGACAACCATCACCGTAACGATGCTAGCCTACAGCAAATGGGGGCGCACGTAGAGCTGGTACCGGCCCGACTGCCAGCGCCCCAAACGCTTGAGCGCCTCCGTGGAAAGGCCCAGCTGACTAGCCTGCGTGGCAGCTCCAATTCGAAACGAGTGCGTGGTGTACAAACCCGGAGACAACCCAAGACTAACCACCCCTGCCCGGAGAACCCTGGCGAACTGAAACCGGCTGAGCGCTGACCCATCCCGATGCCTCAACAGGGATCCTGCCTCCGATCCTCGCACCGCCAAGAAATCCCGCAGCAACTTAACCGGGCAAAACGGCTCACCAGTAGCCATAATCCGAACCGATGCGCCCACACCTACCTGATCTGTCTTAGATTTACGAATGATCAACACCATGTCACCCGTCGAGACCGTGACATCAGCAAGTTGCATGGCAGCTGGCCCCCGCGTACTCGGAGCCACCAGCTCACCTATCCGAAGAGCCGCAAAAAAGCAGATAGCAAACGCGGCCTGGAACAGGAGAACCTCGTAGCCCGAAACACAGATCTGGGGCAAACACTCCAGGAGTCTGCACAAGATCTCATAGGAGATGGGACGCCGAGCGTCCCGCCTACGACCCTTCTTCCAGCCCTTCATGATCCGCGAAATGCAAAATGACTTGGTCGCATCCTGCCACCCACACCACTGGAACAGAAAAGACAGGGCCGCTAACGCCCTCTCTGCTGCCGCTACCGACTTACCCTTCTCGCAGAGTGACTCCAAAAAGGACAGAGTCGCTCCCAACCTACCTTCGTCCGTAGACGCCTCCCTGTCCCTGCAGACACCCGTCCACTGCCGCCAGACCGCAGAATACGATTTCCACGTCGACTCCGCCAGCGACTCCCTCGCCAACCGGCTCAGATGGTGGAAACCAGGTCCCATATACCCTCCGGGCACGAGGTGCCAGCCTGCTCCGCCTCTGGAGCCGCCGCTCGAAACCTGTCCCACTGAAACCGAGAGAGAGAGTCGGCTATAACGTTCCGCTCCCCAGGCACATGGCGCGCAACCAACCACAAATTATGTGCTAAGCTAAGCAGGACCAGGCGCCGGAGGAGCGTCAACACCGGAGGCGACGCAGACGTAGATCGGTTGATCACATGGACCACACTCATGTTGTCCGTGTACACCACTACCTTCCGGTTCGACAGCTCCACACCCCAGAGCTCCACAGCCACCACAATGGGAAAGAGCTCCAAAAACGTCAAGTTACTCACCAAGTCCGTCTCTCGCCAGTGTCGGGGCCAGGCCTCCGCGCACCACCGTCCCTGAAAGTAGGCACCGAAACCCACGGACCCAGACGCGTCCGTGTATAATTCTAAATCCGTATTGGACACTGCCGGGCGCAGCCAGCAGGATTGCCCGTTGTACTTACCCAGAAACGAACTCCAAACCTGCAGATCCTCTCGATGCCGGTGAGTGATTCGAATGAAGTGAAATGGCTGCCTGACTCCGACCGTTGCCAAGGATAAACGACGGCAAAAAGCCCTGCCCATCGGCAATACCCGACAGGCAAAGTTCAGATGCCCTAACAGGGCCTGCAACTGCCGAAGCTGCACTTTTTTGGCACCTTTTGCCGAATCCACCAGCCGCAGCAGGTGAGTCAGCTTGTCGTCCGGCAAGCGGAAAACCATGCTCCACGTGTCCACTTCAATCCCTAAGTAGGACAGGACTCCCACCGGACCCACCGTCTTCTCGGCTGCTATCGGCACGCCAAAATCCGCAGCGACGGCCCGAAAGGAATCCAAGAGCCCCACGCAGTCATCCGACTCCCGCGGGCCCACAAACAAAAAATCGTCAAGGTAATGAGTCAGGGACTCTATCCCCGCAACCCGAGCGACAACCCATTCCAAAAACGATGCAAACATTTCAAAGTAAGAACAAGATATAGCGCAGCCCATAGGCAAACACATATCAAAGAAAAAGGAACCTTGAAACCGACAACCCAACAGGTGAAAACAGTCCGGGTGGACCGGGAGCAGGCGAAAAGCAGACTCGATGTCCGACTTCGCCAACAGAGCTCCCTTCCCTGCCTCCCGGACCAACTCTAGCGCCCGATCAAACGAGGCGTAACGAACGTGTGATTCTTCCTTGTCAATGTCATCATTCACCGACCCACCCGAGGGATAGGACAAGTGGTGAATGAGACGGAAGGATCCAGGCTCTTTCTTAGGAACTAACCCCAGCGGGGATACCCGCAAATTGGGAAATGGAGGCGAGTCAAACGGACCCGCCATCCTGCCCAAACAAACTTCCTTCCTCAACTTATCCTCTAGGATAAACTCTTTCCCCACCACCGAACGCAGGTTATCTGCCAGGGAAGGGGAATCCGAATGAACAAACGGAATCCAAAACCCCGTCGAAAACCCTTCTAGCAGAACCCCTGCATCCTTACCCTTGGGATACCGATCGAGCCACGGGCGCATCCTTAGCACGCTCACCGGAGTCCTCCCCTCTAGGGAGATCCTCCCTATTGGATCTCCCACCATGCTTGCCCTTCTTGAAACAGCGCAGCGCAGGGTGGGCCCCTCCACAATGAGAGCACTCGTGCTTGAAACGGCATGATCCAAACCACTTGCAATGACTCTCATTGTAGAGCCAGCAGACTCCCCTGCGCTGCCCAACCGGCGCACTGGACGGCACGCCGGCTGCTCCTGGAAAGGGGGACGGATGACTAGGGGTCATCAGCAAGAGCCAAAGGCTCCCGTCCTGGACCCCAAAATCCATACCCGAACACACCGCCATCTTCTGGCGAAATTGTTGGTCATACCGAAACCAACATTGTCCCCCATAAACCTTGTACGCCCCCCATATGAGGTCTAGATACCCAAACAACGCTGGTGCCTTCTCCGGGAAGGCCCGCGTCATCACACTTGCAAAGATGGAGAACCCTTGCAGCCAGTTACCAAACGCACGCGGCAGATGCTTACCTCTGTCGCCGTCCACCGAATCTCCCCGCCGCGGCCTATCCACCGACTCCCGGTCCGGGGGGACCAGGGACAGTAAATCTACGTATTCACCCTTTACAATCTTCTCTTTCACCTCCAAAGCCACGTGCATCCCAAGTGGGGACAGCTCGCAACCTGGCAAGCACTGCGCCCTACCTGACCGAGTACACTGACCCTTATCCCGTGCATGGGCCTGCGCAGGGAGAGAAACTGGGACAGACAAAGGGCCCCCCCCTGGGAGTCTATCTAACACGGCCTTGAGCAACCCCAGAACTTCCCCATTAAACCCACTAGCTACCCTATCCCCAGCTAGCGCATGCCAAGCGCTAGCGCAACACTTACCGCTGGCTGGCTGAGGATGCTGGGCCTCACCATCATCAGAATCGGAACTGGACCCCGATCCCAGGGGTGATCCACGGCCGGCCTCCTGGCCCGACCGCAATCTTTCTTCCAGGGTGCTGCTGCTGCCACTCCTGTGGCCTCTCCGGCTTCCAGTAGCCCTCCTGGGCTCTTCTCGCGTGGTTTCCGGCTCACTTCCTGCCGGAACCACGCTGGAACGCAAGGCCTGTGACGTCCGCGCTTTCCTGCGCGGTGACGTCACGTACGCGCCTTGCGTGATGACGATCCTTCCGGCCGCGTCCACGTCACGCACCGAGCGTGCTGACGCGACTTCCGGGCCGGCCGGAAGAGAAGAGCGCGGAGAGCGCGATCTTCCCGCCCTTTCGGCAACCTGGCTTCCGCCGCCATCTTGATCCTGGACACCGCCACCGGCCTCACCAGAAAGGATCCTCCTCCTCCCGGGTACCGGACTCCGGAGCGGTCGCGCGGCCAAGCCGCCACTTCTTCCCCTCCTCTGACACCGAACCGGACTGGGAGAAAGACGCGACGGAGGCCTCGATCTCCTGGCCCTCCGTCCGTCTCGGCATGCAGACTGACCGGCCCTTACATCCTGGGGGACATTCCTCACGCCCGACACCAGCTCCTCCAGGGCCCCTTGTCCATGGGTCTCCAGGTAAGTCTGCAGAAGTCTCTGCAAAGCAGCTCCAGTGTCAGCCATAATTGCTGCAAGTGGACCGTCAGTATCAGTAGAATGCGCTGTTTAGGTGATAATCAAAAAAAAGAATTTTTTTTTTTTTTTTTTTAATTCTAACTGTTTGTCTTGAATTACAGGGCCAGTCAGGTAAGAAAACAGCCAAGATCCCTCAATGAACCTGCTGACTGGTAAGTCCCCTCCCTCTCCCTTTCCTTAAGAACCACAAATGTATCCATTTTAACCCAGCCCCCAATCTTGGGCAGCAGTCATGCTCCCCCTTCCTTATCCTTCCAGGGGGAAACTGGCCTTCACTTACCACAATATTATTAATGCTTAGCTAGTCTTATTAATGCAGGTGTATTTCAAACCTTTTTCTTGTTATTGCTTTTTAAAAACGGTGCAATATCTCCGTATCAGGACCACACCCTACCTTGTATACAATATTAATGCTTGTTAACCTTGACATGGCACTGTGCGCAAGAGTAAACCCAATTGCACTACAAAAAAAATAGAATTAAAAGAATTAAAAAAGCTCATTGTAAAAGCTCATCCAAAAATATTCAATCGAGGCCATTGTGCCAAACAGTTGAATTTCCAGGCACTTGCTCGGAGCGGAAACCACAATAAAATGTAATGCCATTTGTCTACAGTATTCACATTTGTAGAATACAAGCCATGAACACTTGCAGTATGTGTAAACCCCTTGTTTTAGCTCATTATGTATAATATGGGTAATGGATAGTATGCCCTTTGTAACCTCTATTCAAGCATACACGTAAAAACACATACATTCAACAAACAAACAGTGAAAGGGACCAGTAGTTATTAATAGTGCGATAAGATGAGTTCTCAAAAGACCAAAATAGTGGAATTGACAGGGCAGGGCGGAGGGAAGCTCCAACTTTGCGATTTTGACTTACATTTTAAAGTAGTCCTTTTTAAGCCAATGTAACTAATTTTTTATTGACTCCTACCCCATGTTTTAAGAGAGCGCTCGTGAGGGGATGTCATACTGTCAAACACTGTCATGTTAAGAAACCAGATCTGTTGTTTTATTCTTTCCCTAAATATTTGAAACACATGAAAAGAGCACAGATATTCAAGATTTGTTTATTTCTGCTGCTACGGCAACAAACCCTCTTAATCTATCAGAGCTTTCTGTGTCACAAATGGCGCAACGCTTGAAATGTTAAATAAATACTTGTGAGCATGACCTTCATTCACACATCACAGGGATAAAGTGTCACTTGGCAGATCAAGCTGTATCAAGCTATGGAAGTGTCAAATTCAGCTGGGTACCGGGGACTGCACCTGTAACCCTGGACTCTTACCATGAAAGAAATGAAAATAAAAATAACAGTACAGGAGTTGCTAAGGAGGCTTTTGGGGAGCTGAAACCCAGACATTGGCAGTTTGGGGACAGGAAGATATTACTTTTACATTTTTTAATTTTACAGGCAGGTGCCTCTCAACACAGCCACCTATTTTAAAAACAATGACACTAGTATAGTGCTGCCGGGCTACTTGGTTCAAAGGGATGCTTTCTCATTGGTGACTGTGAGGAGGGAGTGTTAGGGAACCCCTCTATATGGTGGGATTGCTTTATATACGGGGCTGTACAGAATGTGCCATGATTTCGTTGAGATCCCGGACGCTGTCCGTGGATAGACAGGAGGAGACATACTTTAACACAGAGATGACACAACATATCCCTCGTTTTCTGTTAGTTTAGGGCTCACAGGTATTTCTGGGAACTAGTAATGCCCCCGAACAACAGAATACAGGGATGATCAAATTGTTATTTCTGCAATATTCCGAGCTGCCATGAGTCAAAAAGTAAAAAAATTTTAAATTATTATTTGTTTGGTTAGTGCAATTCTATGGAAAGATTTAGGGGGGTAAAAGATAGAAAAAAAAATCCCACACATAAAAAACTGCTATAATTGTTTACTCTATGGATGACGTTATTTTTCAGATTAAAGATAAGATATTACAAACAAGCATTGTCCAATCCCGGCCCTCCTGTTGGCACCGGCTGGCCGAGTATTCTGAGAATATGGGCCAAGTACTGTTTGAGGATTTCGGCTGAAAAAACACTATACTGGAATATAATAGAATTGAATTTATTTATCATTGAATTTTTTGTTTTTGTTTAAATTCTGTAATAACTAGCAGATTGCTTTGGCCATAGTAAGATGGAGAAGATGCAATAATGTAAAGTTGGACACTTACAAAAAAAATACCCTAAAGGATTTGGGCATTTGAAAATCAGCCCTAAAATATGTATTATTTTTTTAAGAAAAATTGTCAATTATGGGAGCTCAACTCACACAGAATTTGGATAAATGCCATTCTGCGTTTATACTGGAATCCTTATGTTTTGCCAGGCAGGGCATAAATGAATATTGACAAGATAAACTGATCTATTTATAAACTTTCACGAACTCTGCTTCAATCAAACTCAGGAGTAATCGACTATACAGGACACAGAAATTGGATTCTAACTTATTGGGGTGAATAATCATTATCGCCGCTGGGGCAACCAAACTCAGAGAATTTGAAAGTAGAAAGCCAGATACACAAATACAATGCTTTCATGACTAATTAAACCAGGGATAGATCATTAGTGCATTGTTACAGCTTGATACATTTCAACAGCCCTCATGACGAGTGTCAGGGAACGATGAAAGTTTAAATCTCTACAACCTGATGGATTCTGGGGGTCATATAGCAAACACAATTTAAATATCTAGTCCTTGGTGGACTTTGGGGTGGGAGATTAACAACGATTGACATCTTTAGCAAGATTTAGGAGCCATCGTAGGATTAACCTCTTAAGGACCAAACTTCTGGAATAAAAGGGAATCATGACATGTCACACATGTCGTGTGTCCTTAAGCGATTCTCAGCAGTCTAACCCCAAATTATTTTTAGAATTAGTTAACAGATTAACCATTGTGCATGGATTTTTAAAAATTTTTTTGCTTTAAACAGAACAAGAAAAGTAAAAAATACTGACTTCTTTTTTTCTCAGCCTTTTAAAACGGTTGACAGATCCTATTGTTTTACAAGGGACCTCTACCTCCCTTATGCGTTTTGTGCATCACTGTATTCCCCTCCATATGCATTTGTGCACCATAATTGCTTCCTCTATAGGTGATTGACTCTATCATGCATCAAAGTCTTAGCTTGGTATCCAGTGAGTATTGCACTTTTAGATTAACCACAGACCATATCCTATTAGCTTGAGCAGCCTCGTGAAGTCTTCTTCTGTCAAGAAGCTCCATGCGAGGTCTTGCTTGTCGAGGAAAAGGCACGCACCAGGTTCTCACCTTCACTCCTGTTTAAATAAGGGATTCTGGATTTCTCAAACAGTTGTTACTCTCATTACAAACTCTCTGTTTGTGCTAGTTTGGCTTCTCTGTTCATGTGGTCTAAGATGGCTGAGGATGTGGAAGATAGTGTAAGCACAGTGATGGTTAGATGGAATGGCAGCTTGAACGCTGTTATTGTTAACGCTATCTGATGCAGTGGCGTTATTTGCTAAGCCGCCATTGGAGGAAGAGTTATTAGTCTGAAAGGAGCTTCGTTGGTTTGTCCGTTGGCTAGATCCTAATTTCTGGTCCTCCAAATCTTTAGACTTGTCATAGTTCAGAACTTTCCATTGTTGATTGACGGCTTGCCACCGTTTAAAGATCCGGAAAACTGAAGGACCTTCGTGGATTATCAAACCTGTAGAGTGATGGGAAAATAAAGGCAGTTTACATGAGGTCATCATTTATGTATCACAAACAGAAAAGTGAGGCAAAGTTTTAAAAGTGGCGCAATCTCTGTAAAGACCACCAGACACATACCACTAGTTCCACAAGATGAGAGCTCTACCCATTTTTATGTTTGCCACAATAACTCTCGATTAATATCTTTAAAAAATAAAATAGAATGCATATATCTATGTATTCAGTTTACATTAAAGTGTGCCTGTGAAAAACAATTCTTTGCATTAATCAAGTGATCATAAAAATGTTGATAATTTAATTTTGACAATGCTTCTAATAGTTGATTTAGTCTCTTGTATCAAACCTCCTCATCTTCTAAGCACTGACTTACAATGGTAAATATGTTAGAAATAAATAAAAGACAACACATAGACAGTTTTAGAAGATCTAATAACGTGACTTGTTCAGCATTTGTTAAACCTGACATCTAAATACAACACTGTTTTTTCCCTGGAAAGTTTGCCAATATTGCATCAGACTTCTCTGTAATATGAGCTGCATCCAAGGCTTATCAAGGATAATAAAGGCTAATCTTCATTTCTCTGGATATCACTTAACTGAATAAAACATTGGAATTCATCTATAATTTGTGTTAACTTTTTTTCATGCAATGCTCCATTTTCTTTTGCATTTCTATTAAGCTTTTTTTTTAGCAGTTAACATCACAATCCAGTTCAGACAAGGCATAGCCAAGGCACACAGTGCAAATGAGGAGAAGAAACAGTAATATTGTTTCAATTCTCCTCTTTCATGTATGCTCTCTCTCTGCTGACTGCCAGGTGTAAAGGGCGGAGCTTATAACAATGATTGACAGGGAGCTAAGATGGAGGTGTCTCTCTCTATACTGACTGCCAGGTATAAAGGGCGGAGCTTATAACAATGATTGACAGGGAGCTAAGATGGAGGTGGCTCTCTCTATACTGACTGCCAGGTGTAAAGGGCGGAGCTTATAACAATGATTGACAGGGAGCTAAGATGGAGGTGGCTCTCTCTATACTGACTACCAGGTGTAAAGGGTGGAGCTTATAACAATGATTGACAGGGAGCTAAGATGGAGGTGGCTCTCTCTATACTGACTGCCAGGTGTAAAGGGCGGAGCTTATAACAATGATTGACAGGGAGCTAAGATGGAGGTGGCTCTCTCTATACTGACTGCCAGGTGTAAAGGGCAGAGCTTATAACAATGATTGACAGGGAGCTAAGATGGAGGCGGCTCTCTCTATACTGACTGCCAGGTGTAAAGGGCGGAGCTTATAACAATGATTGACAGGGAGCTAAGATGGAGGCGGCTCTCTCTATACTGACTGCCAGGTGTAAAGGGCGGAGCTTATAACAATGATTGACAGGGAGCTAAGATGGAGGTGGCTCTCTCTATACTGACTGCCAGGTGTAAAGGGCGGAGCTTATAACAATGATTGACAGGGAGCTAAGATGGAGGTGGCTCTCTCTATACTGACTGCCAGGTGTAAAGGGCGGAGCTTATAACAATGATTGACAGGGAGCTAAGATGGAGGTGGCTCTCTCTATACTGACTGCCAGGTGTAAAGGGCGGAGCTTATAACAATGATTGACAGGGAGCTAAGATGGAGGTGGCTCTCTCTATACTGACTGCCAGGTGTAAAGGGCGGAGCTTATAACAATGATTGACAGGGAGCTAAGATGGAGGTGGCTCTCTATACTGACTGCCAGGTGTAAAGGGCGGAGCTTATAACAATGATTGACAGGGAGCTAAGATGGAGGCGGCTCTCTCTATACTGACTGCCAGGTGTAAAGGGCGGAGCTTATAACAATGATTGACAGGGAGCTAAGATGGAGGCGGCTCTCTCTATACTGACTGCCAGGTGTAAAGGGCGGAGCTTATAACAATGATTGACAGGGAGCTAAGATGGAGGCGGCTCTCTCTATACTGACTGCCAGGTGTAAAGGGCGGAGCTTATAACAATGATTGACAGGGAGCTAAGATGGAGGCGGCTCTCTCTATACTGACTGCCAGGTGTAAAGGGCGGAGCTTATAACAATGATTGACAGGGAGCTAAGATGGAGGCTGGCTCTCTCTATACTGACTGCCAGGTGTAAAGGGCGGAGCTTATAACAATGATTGACAGGGAGCTAAGATGGAGGCGGCTCTCTCTATACTGACTGCCAGGTATTATAACAATGATTGACAGGGAGCGGGAGGCGGCTCTCTATACTGACTGCCAGGTATGGGCGAGCTTATAACAATGATTGACAGGGAGCTAAGATGGAGGTGGCTCTCTCTATACTGACTGCCAGGTGTAAAGGGCGGAGCTTATAACAATGATTGACAGGGAGCTAAGATGGAGGCGGCTCTCTCTATACTGACTGCCAGGTGTAAAGGGCGGAGCTTATAACAATGACTGACAGGGAGCTAAGATGGAGGTGGCTCTCTCTATACTGACTGCCAGGTGTAAAGGGCGGAGCTTATAACAATGATTGACAGGGAGCTAAGATGGAGGTGGCTCTCTCTATACTGACTGCCAGGTGTAAAGGGCGGAGCTTATAACAATGATTGACAGGGAGCTAAGATGGAGGCGGCTCTCTCTATACTGACTGCCAGGTGTAAAGGGCGGAGCTTATAACAATGATTGACAGGGAGCTAAGATGGAGGTGGCTCTCTCTATACTGACTGCCAGGTGTAAAGGGCGGAGCTTATAACAATGATTGACAGGGAGCTAAGATGGAGGTGGCTCTCTCTATACTGACTGCCAGGTGTAAAGGGCGGAGCTTTATAACAATGATTGACAGGGAGCTAAGATGGAGGTGGCTCTCTCTATACTGACTGCCAGGTGTAAAGGGCGGAGCTTATAACAATGATTGACAGGGAGCTAAGATGGAGGCGGCTCTCTCTATACTGACTGCCAGGTGTAAAAGGTGGAGCTTATAACAATGACTGACAGGGAGCTAAGATGGAGGCGCGCTAAGCATTGCATAGGTAAAACAATTAGTTTCCCATCACGCCCAGTTGCAGGATAAAGAAATGTGGATTTCTACAATTAATTTTATTTTTTATATCTCACAAATACATATTTGTTAATTATGGGAGTTAAGCAAGCATAATGTTAGACATCGTAGCAAGTAACAGTTCCCTTTTAGAATAACTATTAAACCAATACATCGTTCTGAGTTTGGAGATAAGAGCCGTCAATAAAAGGGCTTGGCAAATGCTAAATATTGACCAATTCTATCAAGTCTAAAATATTGATAAGCTCTCCCAACATCGGGCAAATCTTATTATTAGAGATCATTTTATCTCCGGTCTTAAAGTAACAATCTTATATAACAACTATGAAAATATTAATATTCAGTTTTCTGAGAGAAACTTATCTCTCACTTAATAGCACAAAATGATGTGTTTGTAGACCGAGGATGGTCCTCATCCTTTTACATCACTGTTACTGTATCCATAAAAGCTAATAATTAGATATTGAGAAAGCTGTTGCACATCATAATGCTCTCATAATGCTCTCTTCAGTAACATTTTAAAGAACAATCTATTTGTGGAGCAAGAAATGACACTTTAATCCCCATCAAATGACAACACCGACAAGGAAAGGAGACAAAAACAAGAAATGGACCCCTGAATCATCCAGTCACCCATAAGCTTTCAGCGTCTCAGATGTCCGCTGAAGTGCTATTTGAGGTCTTGAAGGATCATGCACTCCCTTATCTTCGTCTGTGAACAAGCTTCCCGCTAAACACCATCACGCTTTACTTGGCACCTAATTTGCTAAATAGTGACATTTATTCTGCTAGATTAATTAATTTGGAACGGGCATCTTTGTTAATTCTCAGTGTCTGGTTACGATTTGAGAATAATAAATGCAAATTATGTTTTAGATTCCCTCCAAATGATTTCCAATTTAGAAATGAGCAGAGTATCTGTTTTTACAGTTCCTTTCATTGCAAAGTAGTAAATTGGCTATCGATTGCTTGTGTTGGAAGCAGGAAGCGGTAAAACGAGAGCAGGCGCTGGAGGGAGAGGAGGAGATCCGTCATCAAACAATGATTTATTTGCAAAAAAACTAAATAAAAAAACAAACAATGTGGGCAATATTTAAAGAGAAACATTTCCAATGAGGTTTAATGTAGCTATGCTACAAAAACAGACACAAATACATCACTGCATCACAAATCCAATCTAAACCATTTTTAATAAGGCAAATGGGCAAGGTAAATGAATGCCCACACATGTATAGCAGTGGCCTACGAAGGGCAGAGAATGGTCTGGATGTGGGTCGAAGTCAAAGAGACTAAAATCTTCCCTAGGCCAGATAAATCAGTCATATAGAAATGGCTCCACATTCCCGCAATGCCACATTACAAAACGTGGTAGCTCTGTCTAAAGAGACATTCTGGAGCAAAGTCCTAAAAGTGGAGGAGTCACAATAGAAACCAATGGAATGTTCCTGCTGATTGTTCCATGTTTAGAACTTTGCTCAAGAAAGGATGTTTAAACAAAATACAAACAGGGTTATTCAGTGTGACAAACGCTCTTATCCATGGACGTTTGCCACGTACCCCTGGAGGAGTGTGGAAGCTGGCCTCCTGCTGTCAGCCCCCTTGTACTTACCCTGGCAGTTCGCCGATCTGCCAATGCTCCGATCCGGTGGATCTCCGTTCCCACGCAGTATGAGGTTCCAGACAGCTTCATGGACGCCGTCCGCTGTGTGCACGCCCCTTTTTATGATGCGGCGCACGCGTGCAGGCGTCATGATGTCACATGAGCTCTAAGCAGTAGAGCTCAGCACACACGCACCTTTTGGGGTGTGTGGTTATGCTAACCACGACCCCAACCATATAAAACCCCAGTCTGCCCAAAGCACAGGGCCCTGTGGTGTCACGATAGCGCATTCTTTTGGTATTGATTGGTTTTGACCCGGCTTGCTCTTGACTACTCTGTTTTCTGTCTTCCCTTGACTTTGTTACTCGTACTTGTGTATTTCTAGCTCCCCAGCTCGGCTTTTGTCTCTCGTATTAGTGTATTTCTGACTTTCCTTGAATTATATTCTATTTTATGGCCATTCTAAGGAAAGGTTTAGGGACTTTCTATCTGTCTCCATTTATTCTGGTGGGTTTTCACTCTGCATTTTGGGTTGCACATTACACCTGCCCACAGACTATGGTCCAGATCTGAGACCTTGTTCTGGAGTTACCCTGCCTAGCTGCCGTTAGCAGCTTTCCCTGGGTGCCCCTGGTTTGGCATTTTCCCTTCTCTGGAATTGAACGTTACCTTCCTGGCAGCTGTACTTAGCTGCGACACCCATGGAACTAATTTCGGCATTAGGAGTTTGGGGTTCCCGGTCACCTCAGCGATACTTAGCCACGAATGTTATGGAACTGTTTTCAGCTTGGTGACCTTGCGGTTCCCGGAGAACTTGGTTCAGGGTTTTAAACCACCTCGCGACCCGCTAGGAGATCGCTTTTTGGAGGGAAGGTGTCTGAGACTAAGTTAAACAAATGCTTCCTGAAAGCCAGACAGAACACCCTGTATTTCGGCGGCATGAGCTCCCGAAAGTTGACCAGCAAAAGCACAAAACGCTCTGGAATTATTTCGGGCTAGGACCATGTGTGCGACCGATCAGAACTTTAAAATTGATGGCATTTCCCCTATACTGCATAGATCTGGGTGCTGTTTGGACAACTTGGGCGCTCAGGCCAGGGCTGTTTGGGGATGTAGGACGTGTGGGGTTACTATATATTTTTAAGATGTTTGGGGGTATTTTTTCATTTTATGTTTTTGTGTTTGGCTCTCTGTCCCTGGGAGATAATTAGCTTCCCGGTCTTTAACTCAATTATCTCCCAGGCACAGAAATCTCTGTGAGGGACTTCCATTGTATTGTTTGGAGACCCCATGCTGGGGGTTGTGTATATAAGCAAGCAACTTAGCCATAATAAACCAGTTCCTTTTCACCCTTGGACTAGTGTTTGGGTGAATCAGCTAGACACCTGTCCTTTCTGCAGGAGAGCTTAATCACTGTTACAGGGCAGGAAGCAATGGAGAGACCCCAGCCAAGCTGCAGCGGCTTGGGGCTGAAGCACTACAGGTGTCCTGGGGTGCCAAGCGGTCTGTCATATTCTGCAAAGAATGAATTGCCAGGAATCTAAAGTACATTCAGCACAAATTTAAAATCTCCATCCACAATAGCCAAATTTGAATTTTTTTCTCCCCAATTATCCCTGTTTTCAGCTCAGCTATTTGGCTCTCCGTGAATAATCCTGCAAGGTATATGGCGGGACCAGCACAGCTGCAACTATTAGATCATAGAAGATGAATCTGATTTAACTGTGATTATGAAATAAATAAAATGTATCACATTGACCTGCAAGAGAATGATTTATCTGCAATCTACAGCATGCTTTGGATTCGTTCCAGTGTTGTTATTTTGTATATATGTTGTTATTATTAGTATTATTATTGCTATTTATATAGCACAAGTTTATTCCTCAGCGCTTTACAATAAAATAAAACAAAATAATTTTTAATATATATAATGCAATCTATATACATGTGATTGTGCGACATGAAACACCCAATTTAATCTTTGTTATTAAACACAAGGGAATGAAATAGCTGCAGCCACTTGTGCCCTGAGATCCCCACTCGCACAGGGAATGAATGCAGCTCATTTTATAAAGATTGGAAGATAGATAGAAGGAATCACTCACAGCTATATCGAACTCTTATTTTGTTTGGGCTACAGGGCTAAACTACCGTCTCTGGGGATATTAACTCCCAATCATAAACCTAAAATAACCATGTTAGTGAAAAATAATAATTCATCTCTCTGACTGGCAGCTGGAGACATGATGCTTGGGAAAAAAGGTGAACGAGTGGAAACGCTAAGCAGAATTGAAGCAATCAGGTCATATTTTATATATTCATTGTCAAGGATCTACACAAAACAACATTCTTACAACTGTGTGAGTTCTGGTCCAAAAGGCTTGCACTCTATTAAGCTCAAAATAAGTGTATTATCACTGTTAAAGACCCAAAAATGTCCAATGATTTAAAATACTGCAGATATGCAGCACAGAGATTATTTTCCAAATTCTGCTGGAATCCTTTATTGAGCTGTGGGTGTTAAAGGATTGTGCTGTCTTTTTGCATAGAATACTTCTCTATATCATGAGATAAATTGGAGTTATTTTGACTTATATTAATGTAGAGGGGCATGAAAAACTGAAGCCTTGCTTTTTCTTATTTCATTATATATACTGTATCACTGTATACTTGATGGTGAGAAATTTGGGTTCTGCAGAATAATTTTTTCCAAAGATAGAACATTTTTTGGGATGCATAAAATTTGTATAAATGTCATTTCGAACTCGAACCAAATTGGAAGAGCAAACCAAAATGGGTCAATATGTACACTGCTCAAAAAAATAAAGGGAACACTTAAACAACACAATGTAACTCCAAGTCAATCACACTTCTGTGAAATCAAACTGTCCACTTAGGAAGCAACACTGAGTGACAATCAATTTCACATGCTGTTGTGCAAATGGGATAGACAACAGGTGGAAATTATAGGCAATTAGCAAGACACCCACAATAAAGGAGTGGTTCTGCAGGTGGTGACCACAGACCACTTCTCAGTTCCTATGCTTCCTGGCTGATGTTTTGGTCACTTTTGAATGCTGGCGGTGCTTTCACTCTAGTGGTAGCATGAGACGGAGTCTACAACCTACACAAGTGGCTCAGGTAGTGCAGCTCATCCAGGATGGCACATCAATGTGAGCTGTGGCAAGAAGGTTTGCTGTGTCTGTCAGCGTAGTGTCCAGAGCATGGAGGCGCTACCAGGAGACAGGCCAGTACATCAGGAGACATGGAGGAGGCCGTAGGAGGGCAACAATCCAGCAGCAGGTCCGCTACCTCCGCCTTTGTGCAAGGAGGAACAGGAGGAGCACTGCCAGAGCCCTGCAAAGTGACCTCCAGCAGGCCACAAATGTGCATGTTGCTGCTCAAACGGTCAGAAACAGACTCCATGAGGGTGGTATGAGGGCCCGATGTCCACAGGTGGGGGTTGTGCTTACTGCCCAACACCGTGCAGGACGTTTGGCATTTGCCAGAAAACACCAAGATTGGCAAATTCGCCACTGGCGCCCTGTGCTCTTCACAGATGAAAGCAGGTTCACACTGAGCACATGTGACAGACGTGACAGAGTCTGGAGACGCCGTGGAGAACGTTCTGCTGCCTGCAACATCCTGCAGCATGACCGGTTTGGCAGTGGGTCAGTAATGGTGTGGGTGGCATTTCTTTGGGGGGCCGCACAGCCCTCCATGTGCTCGCCAGAGGTAGCCTGACAGCCATTAGGTAACGAGATGAGATCCTCAGACCCCTTGTAAGACCATATGCTGGTGCGGTTGGTCCTGGGTTCCTCCTAATGCAAGACAATGCTAGACCTCATGTGGCTGGAGTGTGTCAGCAGTTCCTGCAAGACGAAGGCATTAATGCTATGGACTGGCCCACCCGTTCCCCAGACCTGAATCCAATTGAGCACATCTGGGACATCATGTCTTGCTCCATTCACCAAGGTCACGTTGCACCACAGACTGTCCAGGAGTTGGCAGATGCTTTAGTCCAGGTCTGGGAGGAGATCCCTCAGGAGACCATCCGCCACCTCATCAGGAGCATGCACAGGCATTGTAGGGAGGTCATACAGGCACGTGGAGGCCACACACTACTGAGCCTCATTTTGACTTGTTTTAAGGACATTACATCAAAGCTGGATCATCCTGTGGTGTGTTTTTCCACTTTAATTTTGAGTGTGACTCCAAATCCAGACCTCCATGTGTTGAAAAATTTGATTTCCATTTTTAAAATTTTTGTGTGATTTTGTTGTCAGCACATTGAACTATGTAAAGAACAAAGTATTTCAGAAGAATATTTAATTCATTCAGATCTAGGATGTGTTATTTTTGTGTTCCCTTTATTTTTTTGAGCAGTGTATATTTTGCAGTACACTGATAGGAGCACTTTCCCACTATTTGGTGTGAAAACAGGAGGAGCAGGAAAAAAGAAATTGAAAACAAATCTTTTTTTTTTTAACCTTTATTGGTCTCTTATATTTGATCTGTGAATAAAATCAACATTTAGTGACTGTCCCCTAGCCAATCATCTCTTTTATGGGCACGGTGGGTGGAATTGATTAGTCCATAATTTGGGTCCATTTCAGGCTAAGAATTCAGGAACACCAGGTTGGCCCAAATTCTGCTAACTTGCAGTTTGTCCCATAAAGAATATCCAAGCCTGGCAGAGGAAGAGAACCCAGAACCTTTCTCTGGTATCAGTGATTGGACTCTGTCATCATGAGATGCTGCAATTTCCTGGCAGATAGGGGACTGGGCTAAAAACGTTAAAGACGGAAGTGCATAGTTTATAATGCATGGTTTATAATGCATGGTTTATAATGCATGGTTTATAGTGCATAGTTTATAGTGCATAGTGTATAATGCATGGTTTATAGTGCATAGTTTATAATGCATGGTTTATAATGCATTGTGTATAGTGCATGGTTTATAATGCATGGTTTATAATGCATAGTGTATAGTGCATGGTTTATAATGCATGGTTTATAGTGCATAGTTTATAATGCATGGTTTATAATGCATAGTGTATAGTGCATGGTTTATAATGCATGGTTTATAGAGCATAGTTTATAATGCATGGTTTATAGTGCATAGTGTATAGTGCAAGGTTTATAGTGCACAGTTTATAATGCATAGTGTATAGTGCACAGTTTATAGTGCACAGTTTATAATGCATAGTGTATAGTGCACAGTTTATAGTGCACAGTTTATAATGCATAGTGTATAGTGCATAGTTTATAGTGCACAGTTTATAATGCATAGTGTATAGTGCATAGTTTATAGTGCACAGTTTGTAATGCATAGTGTATAGTTTATAGTGCACAGTTTATAGTGCATAGTGTATAGTGCACATTTTATAATGCATAGTGTATAGTGCATAGTTTATAGTGCACATTTTATAATGCATAGTGTATAGTGCATAGTTTATAGTGCACAGTTTATAGTGCATAGTGCATAGTTTATAGTGCACAGTTTATAATGCATAGTGTATAGTGCATAGTTTATAGTGCACAGTTTATAGTGCATAGTGTATAGTGCATAGTTTATAGTGCACAGTTTATAATGCATAGTGGATAGTGCACAGTTTATAGTGCACAGTTTATAATGCATAGTGTATAGTGCATAGTTTATAGTGCATAGTTTATAATGCATAGTGTATAGTGCATAGTTTATAATGCATAGTGTATAGTGCACAGTTTATAATGCATAGTGGATAGTGCACAGTTTATAATGCATAGTGTATAGTGCATAGTTTATAGTGCATAGTTTATAATGCATAGTGTATAGTGCATAGTTTATAGTGCATAGTTTATAATGCATAGTGTATAGTGCACAGTTTATAATGCATAGTGGATAGTGCACAGTTTATAATGCATAGTGTATAGTGCACAGTTTATAATGCATAGTGGATAGTGCACAGTTTATAATGCATAGTGTATAGTGCATAGTGTATAGTGCACAGTTTATAATGCATAGTGTATAGTGCACAGTTTATAATGCATAGTGTATAGTGCATAGTTTATAGTGCACAGTTTATAATGCATAGTGTATAGTGCATAGTTTATAATGCATAGTGTATAGTGCATAGTTTATAGTGCACAGTTTATAGTGCACAGTTTATAGTGCACAGTTTATAATGCATAGTGCATAGTGCATAGTTTATAGTGCACATTTTATAATGCATAGTGTATAGTGCATAGTTTATAGTGCACAGTTTATAATGCATAGTTTATAGTGCACAGTTTATAATGCATAGTTTATAATGCATAGTGTATAGTGCATAGTGTATAGTGCATAGTTTATAATGCATAGTGTATAGTGCATAGTTTATAATGCATAGTGTATAGTGTATAGTGCATAGTTTATAGTGCACAGTTTATAATGCATAGTGTATAGTGCATAGTTTATAGTGCATAGTGTATAGTGCATAGTGTATAGTGCATAGTGTATAATGCATAGTTTATAGTGCACAGTTTATAATGCATAGTGTATAGTGCATAGTGTATAGTGCATAGTGTATAGTGCACAGTTTATAGTGCACAGTTTATAATGCATAGTGTATAGTGCACAGTTTATAGTGTATAATGCACGGTTTATAGTGCATAGTGTATAGTGCATGGTTTATAGTGCATAGATTATAGTGCACAGTTTATAATGCATAGTGGATAGTGCATATTTTCAAAACTGCCGCTGCTCAGCATCCAGCTCACAGGCTGAGTTACTCTATAAAATATCAATTGTTGGGATTCAAAGGAGAATTCCACCTTTTAGAGAGAAATAGACGACTGAAAACACAGCTGACTTGGATATTTTCTACCAGTTCGACTATTTTGGTCTAACATATAAAAATCACTTTGGATTTGCAATAATTCCAACTTCCAGGCTTATTCAGTAAACTCTGAACGGCAGTGAATTGACGTCTAAGTGTAAAATTAAGGCTAAAGTAGCCAAGCTGTGAGTATAGCCAAGTTATTATTATTATTATTTATATAGCACCAACATAATCCCCAGCGCTTTACAGTATTATAAAGGGGACGAGGAATTTATCATTCATTATACCACTTGGGTTTCAATTCACTACAATACGGAGTTTGGTGGATATTTATGTGAGACTTTATAATGCAGACAGTGATGAAGATATGAAGTGAAGATCCCCCAATAACGAAAATACAGAGTGGAAACAGCCATAAATAGATCATTCAGAGCGGCGGATTGTTGAATTTTGGCAAGCGTCCCTTTCACCGCTGTACACAACAGAAGCCGAGTGTTTGTTCTATTCCCAAGCTCACTGCAAACAGCTGAGATAGATTTTCAGAAGTATTGAGGAGGATCCAGCCTTTCTTGGTTGATGGTGAGATTGTTCTGTTTAACCCTTAGGGCCAAGGCATTAGATTTACCAAAACTACCATGTACTCTGCACACATACTAATTCGCCATGTAGCAATGCAGTTCTTTTAGGATATGTCCTTAACTGATTCCTTCCATTCCTTCCTGCTGGATGTGAATCCTGCATTTTGTGATTCAGCACTTTTCATGATCTGACATGCATTCAGGAAAACACATTGTATCTGGCAACCCTATCTCATATTTCTGGATGGGCCGGCCATGCTTAAATCTATAAGAATGCAATGACAGTATCATTCCACCAAAACCACTACATTAAGATATAAAGTGTTGAAGCTTAGACAGTCCCTTTAAGTGGTTTTTAAAGCTGGGGTCTTCAACCTTGGCCTTCCGTTACATGATATTTTACCAAACCTGTCATCGAGAGACAGTAAAAACATATGTTGTACCCGACAAAGCTGACATAGACTTTTCACGGCCAATTAAAACCATTACTGCAATATCAAATGTGCAAGTTTGGCCTAACCGAATGGCTTCTAGTACAAAGCTGCCCTTTAATGAGAAGGAACCTCAGACATCCCAACTTTGATCGCCCTTTCTTCTTGATCTTACAATCTCCTAGTTATTTGACACCTGGGAGAATTCCTGGCTATTTTTATTTTTTACTCCTTGTGGAAACCATGTTCTCATTACAGAAAGGTCGTCCGAGAGTACGACCTGGTGATGGATCGAAGGAATAATAACAATGAGTTTCAAGCTCCAGTCAAGGCTTACTTTACGCAGTTAACATTGCTGTGGTATTTTTATTGATTATCTGATATAGGTCTTCACAAAGTATCTTCCTTAAGGTCATGGGTTATGCTGTTCCAGACATTCATTCTTTAAAGATATTTGTGTTCTTATGCAAAAATTATCAGCAATGGAAGTAAAATAACATTGTTTTTTCATCACAGCTGAACCTGTGAAACCTGCTTCCTTCTGTATCTCATTGACAGCAGTGACTCTCGATCATTATCTTCTGATACAATATGGAAAAAATATGTTTCCCTCATGCTTCTAAGAGTTGATGGTCGATGACTAAACAGTCAGCGGGGTCTATGGTCTCATTCTTGGTTACAACTGATTAATATTACGTAAAGCATCAAACAGTAGACATTTTAAAATTACATTTGGTATTTATTGACATGACGCACGTCCTCAGCCAGACTCACGTACGAGAGAGCCCATTCAAAGCTCGAACATATACGGGGAGTAAATAGCCATTTACCATCTGTCAAAATTAGAGGGCAGGGGATGCTTCTGTGCGCCGACTGATGATCTGTTTTATGATTCCACATAATACCAGCAAGTCAGACGCACCAGCCGGCTGTAAACATTATAGTCTGCTACTCCGTGACTCATTTGCATAGAGACAGTGGCTAGCAGAGTGGGCAGAGGAGTGACTAGGGCTGCTCACAAAGTTTATTTTCCTATAAAAAGAAAGTTAATTTTCCTATAAAAAGAGATTGATGCTTTATTGGTTTTCAGTGTGGAGCTGCGAGCAGGGAGCAGGGGGAGAAATACCTGTTTTTGTTATTATTGATAACAAAATTTAGACAATCTGATTAAAGTACTCTCAGTCGCGTTACTAACGTAAATTCCACTACTGATCTAGAGCAGGAAAGGAAACGACATTGCTTGCATTAGAGGGGATACCTTACTGTCCTCCACCACCGCGTACCCCAACCAGATACATGTAAAGGACCACTCTTTATAATGGAATTTAGTCTCCATAGACAGAACTCTAGGATGTGCCTGGAGGTGGAGGGGTTACTCCTGGGTACTACAGGAGTTCATGACCCATTTATTGAATGGAAAATGTAATTCAGAACAAGTATCTAAGTTACACAGACTTATTGCTAAACACTGTTATTGTAGTTTAAAGACACATTACTGGGAGTATTATTGCTGTGGGGCTCTGTTATACACTCAGACACATTACTGGGAGTATTATTACCGTGGAGCTCTGCTATACACTCAGACACATTACTGGGAGTATTACTGCTGTGGGGCTCTGTTATACACACAGACACATTACTGGGAGTATTATTGCTGTGGAGCTCTGTTATACACTCAGACACATTACTGGGAGTATTATTGCTGTGGAGCTCTGTTATACACTCAGACACATTACTGGGAGTATAATTGCTGTGGAGCTCTGTTATACACTCAGACACATTACTGGGAGTATTATTGCTGTGGAGCTCTGTTATACACTCAGACACATTACTGGGAGTATTGTTGCTGTGGAGCTCTGTTATACACTCAGACACATTACTGGGAGTATTATTGCTGTGGAGCTCTGTTATACACTCAGACACATTACTGGGAGTATTATTGCTGAGGAGCTCTGTTACACACTCAGACACATTACTGGGAGTATTATTGCTGTGGAGCTCTGTTATACACTCAGACACATTACTGGGAGTATTATTGCTGTGGAGCTCTGTTATACACTCAGACACATTACTGGGAGTATTATTACTGTGGAGCTCTGTTATACACTCAGACACATTACTGGGAGTATTATTACTGTGGAGCTCTGTTACACACTCAGACACATTACTGGGAGTATTATTGCTGAGGAGCTCTGTTACACACTCAGACACATTACCTGGAGTATTATTGCTGTGGAGCTCTGTTATACACTCAGACACCTTACTGGGAGTATTATTACTGTGGAGCTCTGTTATACACTCAGACACATTACTGTGAGTATTATTACTGTGGAGCTCTGTTATACACTCAGACACATTACTGGGAGTATTATTGCTGTGGAGCTCTGTTATACTCTCAGACACATTACTGGGAGTATTATTGCTGTGGAGCTATGTTATACACTCAGACACATTACTGGGAGTATTATTGCTGTGGAGCTCTGTTATACACTCAGACACATTACTGTGAGTATTATTACTGTGGAGCTCTGTTATACACTCAGACACATTACTGGGAGTATTATTGCTGTGGAGCTCTGTTATACTCTCAGACACATTACTGGGAGTATTATTGCTGTGGAGCTCTCTTATACACTCAGACACATTACTGGGAGTATTATTGCTGTGGAGCTATGTTATACACTTAGACACACCAACAATATGGAGCTCCTAGAAAAGAGGGAATGAGGCATTTGAACCCAAAATAGTGACTCTATTACTTATTATACGTTTCTGTTCTTGATAGAATTTCCCTTTTAAATGTGTTTCATTAAATTTGCTGATGAGATAGTTACACTACAAAAGTAGACAAACAATTGCATTTCCATATATATATATATAATATAATTTGCTTTATTTCCCCCCTCTCCAAATGTTCTAGGTTAAATTTAGAAATAAAATGTGTAAATGTTAATTTGTAAATATGCGTTTCACTTCAGCCTTGGAATAGATAGTGATATTTACTGAGTAATTGTGGCAGAATCTGTTTTGGTTTTAGTGAACAAACCGACAATTTCTTGACCTACCTATGCAGACAATATCCATAAACCCATACATCCCGTAGCAGATCTGGAAGAGCAGATCCTGCCGCTGCCATTTTGCTGAGGGGCTAAATGTAGACCAGATAAGCCAAGAAATGCTGGCGATGAGGAAGAGGGAGCCCAAGATGGCGGCTGCGATCTGCACTTTTTCGATGACAGTCAGGGAGATGGCTTGCCACTACAGTCATAGACATTCCGACAGAATATAAAAAAAAAAGAGCTAAATTAGTCTGTGGGGGAGAACGGGGAAGACAAACAACCACAAATTAACTTTCACAATACATTTTAACTTCAATGACCCCTTAAAGAATAAAACATTACGAGCGGCAACCCTAAATGCACTGACAGGCTTATTCAATAAAATGAATTTCAAATATTAGACCAAAATAGTTTAACTGACAATATAGCTGAATTTAACATTGTTCATAATCTAGATACTGTGGTCTGAATTCCATTTTCAATTCACATTGCATTCTCTACAATTCACAATTTATGGACAGTCTGTTCACAGTTGGTGGTGGTGATTGGGCTGATACAAATGTCCCTTCAGATGACAAAGGTCCTTCTCTAATGGTTAATCAGACCAAGGGGAAAATCTTAGTTCAATGATGTTCCTGCGCCACACAAGGCTTCCTGAACATCATGGGATACTTTGTTTCCCTTTGGAATGTTAACATTCACTTCCAGTACTGACCAACTGGCAATGTGAAGAATACTGAGAAACCTGACCGCACCTGGTAATGCACTGATAATGCGACAGCCAACAGCAGAGGATGTGCTTATCATACAGTACATTCCAAAACAGCCAAAGCTGGGTTATTGTAAAACTTAGAGGGGCACGTAGTAACCAGACAGAAATTCAAATTTAATGAAATTTAATGAAAAAATTATCTTAAAAATTAATCATATATAAAACAAAAAGTATGTAAAAATAAAACATCAATATAGAAATAAATAACTGTACTAGTGTAAAAAATGGTGACTAGATATCGCAAACTTGCCAAACTCTGAAAGATGGGGCCCAGTCGCCGTGCCCAGATACCTCCTTTCTTGGTTGCTTCACTCAGGAAGCCCCAGGCCGGACCACACTGATGCTCTCAGCCCACCCCTAGATCCCGTTCAAAAAATGAAGCAAAAAAGTTATGACTCTCTTTCACTCTGCATTCTGAATGGGGAGCTAGTGACCCTAGGCTGACGCTCTAAGAATATCTGCGGTGCCCGTTTTAGGGTTTCCTGATTGAAGACTCAGACCAATAAAGGAAAGCTTATCCAAAATATTAAACTGAAGACTTCATTGGTTATTTTAGCCAACATTTACAGATTCAGACTGGTTGTCCATTTACCACAATTCACTGCTTACTGAGTAAATCTACATTAGACCTCACTCACGGGTACATTAGAGAGAAGGTACGATTCAGGAGATACAGAATATTCTGATATATTGCAGATAGAAAAGAGAGAAAATTAGAGAATGTTTTCCCATAATTGAAAAGTATCTAATATCATAGGAGAATGTCTAGATGTCTACAACCATAGCGTCCATTCAATTATCGGACAGCCAAACAACACTCAGTGCTATAAATAAGAAAATAGTCTATGTACCTTTACCTGAAGAGGATTGTTTGTGCTTATTGAGATAACATGATACTTGTAGTAGCAAAGTTCACAGCTCCAGGAGCCTCTTTCGCTGATCCATTTAACCAGACAAGGTTGGTGGGTACAACGGACTGATCCATCACACCGGCATGGACTCAGGAGCTCCCCCTATAGGACAAAACACAGCACAGACAATACTGTTATCCTAGGGATGCAATCTTTAAGAATGATTGTTGATCAGTGATGGATTACTGTAGCACTGCAGAACTAATTTATATCATGGTCCAAGCTCTCCATGTGGTTTAATATTGTTAGCACACCAGTATTTTCAGAGATCACAGTATTGCTAATTAAAATAAAAATTATTTAGTCCTTTTCTCTAACAATACTGAGGGTGTGAAAATTAAAGGGACACATTCATACATTTAATATGGATGCCTTTCTGGCATGAGGGGCTGGCTTATAGTGCAGCATTCTGCAAAACATTTATTGATTTATTTTGTGCAAAAATGACAAAGTTTTTAGTATGCAATTTTTTTTAAAATACAGCATATTAACGAGGCCAACATCTATCAAATTTAATAGTAGGATTTAACTTGTGTTGGTGCCAGGAGTTGCCAGTAATAGAAGAATCCAGAGATCACCCCCCCCCCCTCCAGTTTGGCTATTTTAACCTTAAATTGGAAATTCACCTTGCATTTTCACCCTGCAAGACATTAATGACTTCACGCCAAGAAGAGACAGTATCACATATCAGACATGAGCATTGTATCCGATATAAGCTTTTGTATATCACATCTGCAATCCAGGAATAACTTTAATAAAATATTACCATGTAACTGTTTTAATGTCAGTATAATGTGTGACAGTAACAGCAGGAAATCACACAGATATAGCTGTAACAGAATACAGTAAGCACGCCGACACGGCCCAGTAATTAGGGCATAGCTCCAACTGTTATCTGGGAATAGCTCCCCTGTAGTTCCATGTACAATGACATACAGTTTAACTGCACAATTGTGATATTACTCCCCCCCCATCCTCCACCCAGATGTCTACATTTTCCTTCCCATTAGTAGATCAGAAAGAAGGGCCCTCTAGTTAACAGCCATTGTGCAGCTTCTCCTTGTCCCAATCTGTCTTAAAACGTCTATAAACTACAGTTTGCAAACTTTCCAAATAATAATTCATGGTAACGACGCATTTCACCTGCTTGCAGGCATCGGGGCACACAACGCTTATTCCTTCAACCTTGGCAGGATGTTTAGTAGATGTAGAAACCATTTTATCTTTGTTTTGTACTGATGGTTTTAGGGGTACCTCTTCCAGGTTACAATAGCAAGACACCCATCCTTCTCTGTAATGTGATTGGCTGAATTTGGCAAGGAGACAAGCTGCACATGGCTGTTTGTGAAGCCTTATAGAGCTTTCAGGAAGAAGAATCCTAATGTAAAATACAATTTATGTACCTTAGGAATAACTTTAATTACAGCCAGCCCAGAAAGCTTTTTGAAAAAAGTAACAACCCGAAAAACATAAAATATATAAAACATACAGCCCCATTTTGATGACGATTTGAAGGAATTTTGTTAATAAAAATGTCCTCTTTTATCATTCTATAATTATAAATGTTATTATTTATCCAAACGTTTGGATTCCTGGCATCTCGGGGTATTGTCGGATACATTATAGGTCAGAATGTTGCTGAAGGAAGGAAATTAACAAACCATTAGATTTCATTGATCTACAAACAAACACTTTGTGGCAACTTGCTATCGCACCGAGTTACGTTGAATTTTGAATTTGATTATTTTAGTTATAGTATCTGTCAGTCTCACAGTGTGATAACCACTGGGGGGGGCACTGTTACCAGAACTAGTCCATCTGTTACTGATATAACATCTTAATTTATGAACAAATGTCTAATTACAGGATTTTCATGTCTCTCCCTCATAAGACGTTAACGCCATTTGTAGGAAATGAGTTTGTGTCTCTGAAGAACCACTGATCTCACACATCACTGATCTCATTTTGTAACTGCGCAATATTTTTAAAAACATTTTTGTTACCCATAATGAGGAGCTGAGTTTAAGACAAACAAGTTATAGAGGGTTTTTGAGCACAAACAAACAATGGCAACAAAATGTGTGTTTTTCAAAAGGAGAATCAAGGCTCCATTGCGACCAAGGCCTACAGCAGGCTGTACCCCATTATCAGCTCTTTTTTGTTGATGATGTTTTCTAATAAATACATTGTAACTGCTGACACCATCAATGCTAAAAGTAATAAACCATACGAAACGGTTTGTTTGTTTACTAACTCCTTCCGAGCCGCCCCGACTGGTTCAGAAAGGTTTGGGCAGACATTGTATCAGTATATTAAATATCTGTATATTCTGCAGCTGGTCATAAGTGCACATTGTACTTACATTATATCTTTACGTCTGTAACATGTGATTAAAAACTCCTTGCACGTACCAGAGCAGTGGGACGGAGAATGGATTCCAAAATGCACCGCCACCGACTGTACGAGCAATGCCAAACGGTTTTACTAAAATAGAACAATAACAGCAGACCTCTCACACACCATTAATTAATTACTAGATAATAAGTGCATTTAGGCAGAGAGTTCCTCACCTTTATATCCAACCAACGTTATTTCTGTCTCCCAGTCACATGCTGTTATATCCCACTGTACCATTGTACAAAGCTGCAGACAATGTTGGCGCTATATATACATACGCCTATAATAAAAACAAGAAACTTCTATTACACCGTACTAATAAGAGGTAATAACAAGGTACTGGTGATCATCGGGACGTACTTCCCCAGGCTTTATCCTCTCTAAGACACAGAAGAAGAGGCGTTCATTATTAGGCTGCTCCAAGCACCATGACCAGTTCAGTGATTTGAAGTTGTCATGGTGCCTGGAGTCTCTATTTGCAGTAGTCAGTATGAAACGCAGCACATATGACCCTTTGCGGTCAGAGGTGTAAAGCCACTTCAGGCATTGCCATTGTGGTTTCTTTAGCTACCGAACTGGCTTATGTCAATTGCGTGCAAATATTTACGCACAGTTCGCCATCCATTGAGAGGTCAGCTGACACTCATAGCCAGTGAATGTCGAGTTTATCAGCTCACAGCTTTTGCAGCTCTGCCGAAATGGGAAGCGTGTCACCAGACATGGACGGGGCCTCGAAGCCGGGTGGGGACCCAGGTCAGTGGGCAATCCACTGTTAAAAGGTTTCCCCCATTGCCGGGAACTAGCCAGGGTAATCCTCGCATCATACAGAGAGCTGTATTGGTTATAACACTTGGAGAAACCCTTTAATGATAAATTATTTAAGTGGATCACTCATATTTTCTATATTTTTTTTTTTTTTTGCTTCTAGTGAATCGATTTCCAGTTTGTGCAACAAAATGCAAAACAATCATTAGGACCAAGAGTACACACACATTGGTAAAAAAAATAAAGGGTTTATTTAGAAAATGAACAATTGTGGAGATCTGACAAGGGACGCGTAACTTTTAGGTCAGTTTATCCGAGTTGGAAAAATAGCTGCAATGCATGATTTTTTCCCCAGTTTGGATAGTTTGTCACAAATTTTGCCTCATCAATGTGCTCTAATTTTTTACATAATTTCTTCATTTCATCCAAACATAATTACAAAAAGCTTTCATGGAGCGCCAATATCTGATGGAGGGAGGGAAGCCAGGACTGCGTAACTCTCCCATAATAATAAGGAAAAAAGAACTCAAAATCAGAAAAGAAAAATAAATACAAGTAATAAAACAGCGACTCACAGCCTTGTATTACAATCACTTAAATGGAGTCAGGACATTCCATAAACATACATTTCTGAAAGAATCTGCAAATAAATCTCAGTATTTGGGAAATAACGAGCAATTGTGCAGAATAAGTACATTTGCCAAATCGTGTTTTTTCACAGATGACACAGGTGACAAATCCAACACCTTGACCAGTAAGGAGACGGCCAGCCAGGCGAGTAAAATGATTAAAATATCAATATTAGCTTTGAGATTTGATCCTGTACCCTTGGATTATGTACAATGTGAGTGCTCTGGCACAGTACGAGGACTGTCATAGTATCAGACTAAGGATTTCTATTATAGTCAATCAGCCTGGGTAATACAATAAGTACAGATACTGTTAGTTCCGCTTACTCGCCGACCTCTCAGCCATTGCCAGCAGGCATGTAAATGAACCAGAAAATATACTGTGTCAGGCTGAGAGGTACATCGTCATTTATTCCACTGTTTTAGACAATGTAATTTTTTAACCTATTTGCAACAATAAAAGCTGTCACGGCCTCCTGTCTAATGATTCGCACACTAAAGATCCAGGTCAGTTCTAGAATGGTAATGCCACGTCTGGCCGTGCCGTAATACAATGAAAGGCAAAGGAAAACCTTCTAGAATTCTAAGACTCTCACGGATATAGGAAAATGCCAGACAGGTTTACATTTCTCATCATCAGGGATAAAACAGCCAATAAGGCTACTATTAGAGAAATGGGAAAAAAGTTTAAACCTCTACATAATAACTCTTGACAAATGTTCCAACAAAAATGTCATTTATTTCAGAATTAACCCCATGGTATATGCATAAAACTCTCCTTTATCCGTTCCATGGTATAAAATGGCCTCTACATCTATGACATTTACCCCTCCCCACTGGTAAACTATCCACGGACGGTGCCTTCTCTTTGATTCTCTGTTTCACTGCTAATGATTATTATGGATGTCTTTACGTGTAAAAACAAAATTTTGAGCATTTTTTTTTTCATATGGATAGCCTAATACTTTTAAAGGGACAGAGTAGGCACTATAACCATTTAATCTCATTAAAGTGGTTATAGTGTCTGGAGTCCCCTGACGCTATGCCTTGATTTTGCGATAAACCATTTTTGAGCAGTTTAACACTGAATGAGGATCCCTGGCTTCCCACCTGTGGCTACAGCAGAGATTATTCACTTCGATATATAGCGATTCTGATTCATACTAGCAATGGGTGCTGTGATAGGCTGAGTGTAGTCCGTTCAGCCAATCACAACTGCCCAATTCTGCTCAGGCTAATGTTTCCTCAACATAGAGGGGATGAGCTGCTGGGGATTCTCGATTAGCATGATATATATATTCATTTGCTGCCTCTTCAGTTTGGTTCCACTTAGCTGAAATAACTAGGAAGTAACAGGACCCATTGTCTGATTGACAGCCAGGGAGTATAACAATGTTTCGAAGTGTAAATTCTATTTTCTTTTTCTATCCTCGCATGTTCAAGTATCTTCCATAGAAATATATAAAACTCCTTACCATTGTCAATATCATTTTTTGGGGGGGGGGAGGGAACTGGTGGTGCACTGCCATAAGTACCTATATAATGTATGTACCCCACTTTAAGCAGCAACAAAATAACCTTCTTTTCTTTTATCATTTATTTTCTTTTTGAATTAGAATTTGGTTCTTGCGTGTCTATGAAAATCACACAGCCAGACTTTTAAATGCCATCGTAAAAGCCAGTTTTTCTCGATTAAGCATTTTCAGTTCTGCAAGTCTGTTCCCACTGCAGAGCATGTTTGGATTCAGCATTTGGCCTGCCTCCTGCTGTGATTCATTTCCTTTCGTCCTGAAAGTTGGGCAGTCAATGGCTTGGAACGTTTTCAGTTGTCCAGGAATAATCGTTGCCAATGACATACAACCAATGTGTTGTGATCTATATTGTGTTATGTGCCACGGACGCAAGTCAGGTGCCGACTATTCATTCTGAAAGAACAAGCGATCATATTAAAAGCATCCAACCTTTAGATAAAGATGTCAAACTCCAATGATCCAATGGACGAACTTACAGAGCACAGGTGTAAAGAGCTTTAAACTACTCCTGAAACTTAAAACAAAACATCATAAATATTACGTTGTAGGGCCAGCGATCCAGTCTAGAGATAAACAATAAATCATCACGTTCGAGTGAAGACGTTAATGACAAGCTTTCACGTTTTTTAGTTAAGTCAGAATTCAAAGTGAATGAAAAATTTAAAGTCAAAATTGCCAAACTAAAAACGGAGCAGGATATTGCAGTCTGACATTTTGACCATAAACCTGAATCTCACTTTGAATTCTCACTTTGGTGAATAACTGTGATAGATTTTTCATGTCTTTATATGACGCAGACAAGAGGAAGATTCATTTTTTTATTTCTCTCAGGAATCGCTGATAGTTTCAAAATAAACCTTATTTGATGCCATTTTATAACACAACATGACAGATGTAATAAAACCTTGGGTGAGATTTATCATTACGGAGATAATTAGATAGATATGTTAGTAGTAAACGCTCTACGATTTACAGATATAATTGGATGTAAGTATTTACAACTTTTTTTCTCCTCTGTCTAAATAAGCCCGATCTGGCTGCATTCCAGCGCATCCGACACAACATTCAGAAAAGCTAAGACTGCAACATTCTCGGTGTCAGATAGAATTGTTTTGGAATTAAAGTGCCTAAACCATGGCACACGACATATCTATGCAAGCACATGCTTTATACATGCACTCACACAAAGGAACAAGCAGGTACATACACATGCACTCACACACATGTACAACACTCACAAACACAAAACACAACCTGCAAATTTCCCACGATCTGGGTTATTTAATGCATATTTCATTATTCTTGTTACCTCTGATATCATGCTTTAATTATAGCATAAAATTTAGGGCATGAGTTGTCATAGGCAGACACCCGAGTCACATAATCTTTGTATTTCTGGGCCAGGCATATGATTAGCGCTAGGACTTGGCTTACTGTTTAGGTCAGGGCTTAATTGAGGGCTAGGACTAGAGTTTGGGTAAGGGTCCCTTTCATCTTCACAGCATTGGGACAAACATTAGGCATGTGCATGGGGAAAATATTCGGCTTGGTTCGGCATTCCAAAATTCAGGACTTCGGTAATTCGGGACTCCGGCAATTCGGCACTTGAACACTTCGGAACTTCTGCAACTTCACCACTTCGGATCTTAGACACTTCGGAACTTCAGCACTTCGGCAACTTCTGCAGCTTCGGAACTTCGGCAACTTCGGCAACTTCTGCAACTTCGGAACTCTGGCATTTCAGGACTTTTCTTGCAGCCACTTGGTAGATAACTCCCTAATTCCCACGGTATTAGGGAGTTATCTACCAAAAGGCTGAAAGACCTAAAAATGACTTAGTATTAGTAAATTGTGCCCCTACTCGCTATACCGTGAGTAGGGGCATGTCTAGTCAACAGTGAGCAGCCTGTGGGGGCCCTAAAGTATAAAAGGGTCCCCACAGCGAGGGGTGGGGGTCCTAAATACAAATTGGGGGGGACCTAATGTCCTCCCCCCTGGCCCCCACCCCTGAGCGGTGGGTGGGGGCCCTAAATACAAATTGGGGGGGGACCTAGTCACCCCCTCCCCCAAACCCCTAGTCACCCCTCCCCAAAAAATAAACCCCTACCTACCCCCTCACCCTAAAAATAATGAGGGGGGACCTTTTACTAAGTACCTGTAAAAATAAACATAAACTTACCATTTGATGTTTTCTTTCTTCTAAAATCTTCTTTTTTCAGCCCCCAAAAAGGCCAAATAAAAATCCATAATAACCGACGCAATTAAAAAATAAAATAAAAATAATCCATCTTCACCCATGGAGGGCTCCGCGCAGACTGAGCTCTGCAGGGCGTGGCAAGGCTTATAAAGCCTTGCCCCGCCCTGCAATTAGGCTCAGAGCACTTTGATTGGTGGGTTTAAGCCATCCAATCAGAGTGCTCTGACAGGTAAATGAAGAGACTGACAGGTAAGTCTCTACATTTACCTGTCACAGCACTCTGATTGGTTGGTTTGAAATCCACCAATCAGAGTGCTCTGTGTCAATTTACACAGTGTGGGAAAGTTCTTTGGAATTTTCCCACGCTGTGTAATTTCACGCATAACACTCTAGTATTAGTAAATTTGTCTGAAAGACCAATTTAGGTCTTTCAGCCTTTTAGTAGATAGCTCCCTAATACCGTGGGAATTAGGGAGTTATCTACTTATTCATTCTTGTCATTACATGACTGGCTAAGTAACTTACATTTTATATGAATGTATGTTACTTGATTGTTGTAAGTGTTGCAAATGCTTACAGCTGAATCCTGTCTATGTTTGTATACTTTTTATTTGAAATTGTATACAGTGTAACATTCTTCTTCTTTCACTGGGTAAGTATATTAGTACTTAGGCAATACTGTGGAACTTTGGCACTTTGACACCTCGGAACTTCGGCACTTCAGCAATTCGGCACTTCGGCACTACTACACTTCGGAAATTCGGTAATTTAACTTTTGGACTTTGGCAATTCGGCACTTCGGATATTCGGAAGCACCAGAATGTCCGAATTACCTGAAATACTGCAGAATTTTAATTCGGACCGAAACGAATTGCACATGTCTAACAAACATCACATCTACTGGAACAGTTCCAGTTTTCTATTTTAAAGGACCACTTTAGGCACCCAGACCACTTCAGCTTAATAAAGTGGTCTGGGTGCCAGGTCCAGCTAGGGTTAACCCATTTTTTCATAAACATAGCAGTTTCAGAGAAACTGCTATGTTTATGAATGGGTTAAGCCTTCCCCTATTTCCTCTAGTGGCTGTCTCATTGACAGCCACTAGAGGCGCTTGCGTGCTTCTCATTGTGATTTTCACAGTGAGAGCACGCCAGTGTCCATAGGAAAGCATTATGAATGCTTTCCTATGTGACCGGCTGAATGCGCGCGCAGCTCTTGCCGCGCGTGCGCATTCAGCCGAATGGGAGTTACGGAGGAGGATCGGAGGAGGAGAGCTCTCCGCCCAGTGCTGGAAAAAGGTAAGTTTTTACCCCTTTCCCCCTTCCAGAGCCAAAACGAGTATGTTTTCCTGGCACTATAGTGGTCCTTTAATTACCTTGTAATTATCTTGTAATTGGTAGAGTACATATTTGCACTAACACTGACATTAAAATAAAGCTCGTTCGTTCCCAAACTTACAGTGATCTGTAATATGCGCTTCCACTCTCTTTGTGAATATTAGGCATTTAAACGAAATATAGAATTATGAAAACTATACCCAAAAATATTCAGATCCATCTTTAATGCCGAGCATAAGGACAGCATGTACAGGGGCCCATAGCAGTGCTCCTTGACCATGGAGCTGGGAAAACAAATTTAAGTAAATGAAATGAGCAGAAAATGAAGGCTATATTGGAGAAAGAGGGATGCATACAGGGAAAATGGATTTTCTGAGGAAATGCCAAAGAGAGGTATATAGAAAAGAAATATAAGAAACTATGGACAGAGTGAGAGAGTTGGGGTCAAGGAGGAAAATAGGGGGATGGGCCAGTGGGAATCTGTGCGGAAAAGGGAAAGGTTGTTCTGGGTAGAATTAGAGGACCTTGAAAATGAAGGAAAGGAAGAATGGGAGGTCTGAGAGAAAAAGGGAAGTGAGAAGATAAAGTTGTTCTGGGTAGAATCTCAAATGTTGGCAAAGCTGTGGGTTTAACAAAAGGTACTGTTCATACTATAAAGGAAATTGATTTTAGGGTGTGGAGTGAGTGACATTGGGAGGTGTACAGCCCGGGTTTAAGAGTGAATCATTATTTGTTTTGAATTTGTAAAGAGGCACAATATAGTCATACTGAGAGATTATATATATAAATCTCAAAAGACTGCACTCACATTATTGAGAGCTAAACTAAGCTCTATGGTCAACACGTGTCTCGGCCACTCTTGTCATTCCTTTGTGACAGATGACAAGTCAGAGCTGTCATGACATAATGGGTCCAGTAACTCTCACCGTGAAGGTATTACTGGTAATAAAATAATAAGGGAATTTCTCCTTCAAAATGCTCACTTTGAAAAGTAATAATAGTCAGTACAGTCATTTTTGCACCAGAGGCAAAATGTATTACATTGCCATCGATGTAGGCTGCATTGATGGTAATAAATGAACAGAATTTTCCAAAGAAGGTTGTAAGCTTTGTATTTCTCAGTCTATTCGCTACACCAGCCTATGGTATTTTCAAAGCTCTGGTTCTGATTAAATTTCTCTTGTTCTCAGTGGGTTCTGTGGACTGCAGAGAGTGTTAAACAGGAATATCACATTTTATTAATGTCTTCTTTGTAACGTCTGCTGGCGTTTTACTCCCTGTATGAAGCTGATCATAGATGAGACCAAACAACTAAAATCAGAGATACGCAAGAAATAAAGAAACAAATGCAAATTTAAATAAAACAAAGCATAGTTTTCCTTTTCACAAGGCGTGTGGGTTCCCTACAATGTATTTTCGCTGCAATTTACCTGATTGAAAATAAATGATGGAGCTCCATCTTGCTGTCTGTCTCTGAATCAAGCTGGTAACACACGGACAATTATACCTGGCAATTGAATTTAAATCCCATTGGATTGTGTGCAGCGAGTAACGGGATGCTATGTCTGCAACTACCATCCTCCTCCCCCTTTCAGATGGCTAATCAGAGGCTGAGCAACTAACCATGGCAAGGCTTGGGGGCATTCATGAAAAAATGCCCCATATTCTGGATAGACCCTCAGACAAACTTAGTCTGCGGCAATGAGATTTCTGACATCACCTATTGGTTTTACATTGGGCTGCTACATCCTGTACACCTTGAAACACAGGCCTACATGTTGTCCTGTATTATAGAGCTATCATTTGGTGAAAGCAGGAATGGCGTCAGACCTCTTTAAATGGTCTGTGTGTGTGTGTGTGTGTGTCTGTCTGTATATCTGTATGTAAGTGTGTGTGCGCGCCAAATTGGGGAATAGCTGGGGATGAGGTTTGGGGAGGAACCGGGGTTGAGGCTTTAGGCAGGGGTAATCAAATTATTTTTGTGCTCAAGCCCCAGGTGTTTTCTTACCCTAGCAACCAACTTTAAAGGGATTCTATCGTGTAAGGAATACAATTCTATATTCCTTAATGTATAGTTCGCACTGGCTCCACCTCCCTCGCTGATCCCCTCTCTTCCTGCTTGCTAGGTGACTTTTGGGTGACTCTGCGGACATTCAGCATCCTTAAAATCACCGTAGGAAAGCAGTCTCTAAAACTGCAATGATTTACATTGCAGAACTAATGGGGACTGGGACTCTACACCCAGATCACATCAATGAGCTGAAGTGATCTGGGTGCCTACAGTGTCCCTTTAAACGTCACCAGCACAAGGTCTTTACCTAGGGTTATTGCTTGTGATCAAACATGACTGAGGGTGGGAGGGAGTGACCGTGGCAGTATTACTCATGAACCCGGCTGTCAAAATACTACAGGAGAATAATCTGTATGAATCTTGCACATCTTTAAGATTTGATCTGGGAAAGTAACTACCTTCAAATGAAACTCCCATCACTCTCAGTCACACTTTATACTGAACTCTATTTCTTCTTGTTATAACAATATTAAAATGGAAAACCCTGTTTGAATTCAGGTTTATTAACTGGGGATACAAACTCACAGTAAGATACAGTGTGCAGTGTGTCACAGAGCTCCGCAGATATAAAACTCACAGTAATATACAGTGTGCAGTGTGTCACAGAGCTCCGCATATATAACACTCACAGTAATATGCTGTGTGTCACAGAGCTCCGCAGATATAAAACTCACAGTAATATACAGTGTGCAGTGTGTCACAGAGCTCCGCAGATATAAAACTCACAGTAATATACAGTGTGCAATGTATCACAGAGCTCCGCATATATAACACTCACAGTAATTTGCAGTGTGTCACAGAGCTGCGCAGATATAAAACTCACAGTAATATACAGTGTGCAGTGTGTCACAGAGCTCCGCAGATATAAAACTCACGGTAATATACAGTGTGCAGTGTGTCACAGAGCTCCGCAGATATAAAACACACGGTAATATACAGTGTGCAGTGTGTCACAGAGCTCCGCAGATATAAAACTCACAGTAATATACAGTGTGCAGTGTGTCACAGAGCTCCGCAGATGTAAAACTCACAGTAATATACAGTGTGCAGTGTGTCACAGAGCTCCGCAGATATAAAACTCACGGTAATATACAGTGTGCAGTGTGTCACAGAGCTCCGCAGATATAAAACTCACGGTAATATACAGTGTGCAGTGTGTCACAGAGCTCCGCAGATATAAAACTCACAGTAATATACAGTGTAGCCCCAAGAAGAAAGCACAGCTTAGCAGAGGGGGCCTTGACAGGGCTTGGAGGTGGGCTTAGGTGGAGCAGGGGTTGGTGATTGACGGATCAGGATTCTGGGTAGGCTGATATAAATGTCGGCCATTTTATAACACCTCATTACTAATTGACTTACCTGGCTGAATTGGTCCCTCCCTCCCTCCCTTTTATTCTACCCGCTTGGTCACAGCGGCGGGCTAGTGGAAGGAAAGTTAAGGGGGTAACGGGCCTGCTTAAGGAAGCGTAGAGCAAGAGTAGTGAGTTGGCTGTTTCAATATGGACTGGTTACCTGTTGGTAAGATGTTGGTGGTTTTGAACTCGGTGGTAGCTCAGAACCCAGGTGGTGTAGGGGTATCAAGGTATACCCCTGCCAGGATCGGGTGGAAAATGTTGGATCTTGTTTTGTTATACTTATTGATTGTTATACAATGTTATGTTATATATGATGGGTCATTGCCTTGCGATATGGATATGTGGAAAATGATAATGATGGATGGCTGAGAATGTGGGGGTGGGCAATTACTTTTATGTTATTTAAATATTATCGTTATTATTATTATTATATATTATGAATAAAAGCTGTGGACATATTGACCCATACCCTGTGTTTCATTGGTGTGGGTTGGGAAAAAGGTGATGGTCAGCTCCTCCAGCCCATATGGCGACAATGCACCTGTCATGTGCAAATTACAAATTACAAATTACTGTAATATGCATAGTATATGACAGCAGGGCCGCCATCAGGACATGACAACCATAACAGTTGTCATGGGCCCGGCAGTCTTGGGGGGCCCGGGCTACTCTGCCAGTCCGAGCCCCACATTCCTTATATGCACATATATATAGCGAGGGGGGGCCAGCAGCACACTCTGCAGAGGGGGCCCCAGCAGCACACTGACTTCCTTTCCAGCTGCTCTCTGTCTAACTTTCTTGTGGCCGACAGAGTGTTGCCACGGGTTACCATGGCAACACCCCACACAGCACGAGGGCCAGTCTCGCGAGAGTTAGTCAGAGAGGAGCTGGAAAGGAAGACAGTGCTGCTGCCCGACCCCCCTCTGCAATGTACCACGTCTGGCTCCCTCCACAAGGCGCTCTCCCCCTTCCCTGGCACGGTAAGAAGCAAGGAGGGGGGAATAAAATTTAAATATACACAAATACATTTTAAAAAATTACTCCCCTTACCCCCTATTTTACACACACTGCATCCTTACAAGCAAACCCTCTTCACTACACACACACACACACACACACACACTACATTCACTAAATACACTCTGCAATACAAACACACACATTACATTCACTAAATACACTCTGCACTACACACACACACTATATTCACTAAACACACACTGCACTACACACACACACTACATTCACTAAATACACTCTGCACTCACTACAAACACTACATTTACTAAACACACTCTGCACTACACACACACACACACACACACTATATTCACTAAACACACTCTGCACTACACACACTACATTCACTAAATACACTCTGCACACATTACATTCACTAAATACACTCTGCAATACACACACACACTACATTCACTAAACACCCTTTGCACTACACACACACACTATATTCACTAAACACACTCTGCACTACACACACTCACACTACATTCACTAAATACACTCTGCACTACACACATACTACATTCACTAAACACACACTGCACTACACACACACACACACACACACACTACATTCACTATACACACTGCTGCACTACACACACTACATTCACTATACACATCTGCACACACAAACACTACATTCACTAAACACACTCTGCACACACACACACTACACACTAAACACCCTTTGCACTACACACACACACTATATTCACTAAACACACTCTGCACTACACACACTCACACTACATTCACTAAATACACTCTGCACTACACACATACTACATTCACTAAACACACACTGCACTACACACACACACACACACACACACACACACACACTACATTCACTATACACACATGCTGCATTCACCACAATCACACTACATTCACTATACACATCTTGCATTCACTACAATCACACTACATGCACTATACACACGTTGCACTCATTACAAACACACTACATTTACTAAACACACTTTGCACTCACTACAAACACTGCATTCACTAAATACACTCTACACTCACTACAAACACACTACATTTACTAAACACACTCTTCATTACACACACACACACTACAGTCACTAAACACACACTGCACTACACACATGCTACATTCACTAAATACACTCTGCACTCACTACAAACACACTACATTTACTAAACACACGTTGCACTCACTACAAACACACTACATTTACTAAACACACTTTGCACTCACTGCAAACACACTGCATTCACTATACACACATGCTGCATTCACCACAATCACACTACATTCCCTATACACATTTTGCATTCACTACAATCACACTACATTCACTATACACATTTTGCATTCACTACAATCACACTACATGCACTATACACACTTTGCACTCACTACAATAACTATACATACTTTGCACTCGCTGCAAACCACATTACATTCATTATACACACTACATCCACTACACAAACACACACTCTGCATTCACTATACACACCTACATTCACTACACACACACTCTGCATCTAATGCATGCATACAAAGATTACATACATTACACAAAACGTACATTCTACATCCACTGTACACACTGCGTCTATGACACACATTCTACATCCATTATACACACACACACTTCATCCTTGTGGGCAGACTCTGGGCTGGCCCCCGGGGGCCCAGATCTTGAGCTGTGTCAGGGGCCCTAAAATTTCTGATGGCAGCCCTGTATGACAGTATCACAGAGCTCCACAGCCATAAAACTCACAGTAATGTGCATGGTATATGAAGGTATCACAGAGCACCACAACAATAAACCCAGCTATGTGTGGTAAGTACAGGTATATCACAGAGCTCCGCAGTAAAGCAACTCACTGCAATGTGTCCTTAAATGTCTGTAAATGAGAAATGACAGTAAATTCCCAGCCAAGTGAATGTCATGTCAGTACGAACACAAACTCAGAGTCGGACAGAAAGTCTAGTGCGGCTGCTTGCTCGCTGCAGTCTGTATTTTGATTGGCCATTAGCATATTTTAGAATATTACAACTGTGTGCATCAAAGAGAATGGTGTCAGGAAAACAAGATTAAGCGTCACTCAAGGTATCATTTTCCTGCAGACACGGAGAGCATTGCAAATCATCTAGCTAGGTGCTTGTACAGCTCTGTAAACCTGCAGATAGATCTGCATCCTCTCTGCCACCGAATACCATCTCTCCACATTCCTGGTACTGGCTGGCACTGCCGCCTGCAGCCCACATCCTTTTACTTTGATTGTAAAAACTCCAAATTTCACTGAACCTGTGATGCGGAAACAAATCCTCAATGTTCCCTGCGTGGACCCTGCACGTCCAGATCACACATTGCTGACAAAATGAATTAATCTCTGGGAAATAAACTGCGTCCAAAACAATACACAAACAGGGCTATTCACTAAACAGAGACTAATCTAGAACTGACAGCAGAACTGCATTAGAAAAATTGTGAAAATTCTCTAAATCCACTACTTTACAACTCAGCTAATTTGACCTAATCCAGTGCTTATTAACCCCAAAATAACACAAGTCTTCGTATAATTTTAGTGTCCTCGCTTATTGAAACGTGTATTTTATCATCTACCTCTCAGGCCCCAGTAAAATGCCCCCAAAAAAGGCTGGCGTAGCAGCACTGCTCTCCCCATTGGAATATGGACCCATCTGAAACCGAGAGAAAGTGTTTGTGTTGTCACTGAAAAAAGGTCACTGAGCTTATTTTACAGGGAAGTATGAGTCACCTAGTCACGGCCCAGTGCATGATTTGAGTCTCTGCAAAAACAGATTAAGACCACTGGCTTTAATGTTACAATTTCTGTGTCAAATCCCAGTTTACTGAATAGCCGTGACAGCAAGACCACCACATATGTTAAGAGTCAAAACCAGAAATACATTAATGCACCCAGGAACGTAGTCTTAGGATAATGAAAACCACGTATCAATCATGGCGCAGTTACAATGTTTACGTGCACAGAGTGCCACTACTTCAAACTTGTTCTCTGGAGAGAGTTTAACCCCTTAAGGACACATGACATGTGTGACATGTCATGATTCCCTTTTATTCCAGAAGTTTGGTCCTTAAGGGGTTAAACCGGGTTTCATTCAGTTAACATGCACGTTATTATAGCCCAATCAATGTCTCCAACAGGTAAAAACATAAACCAATGTATGACTTTATATGATAAAAACCTTCAGTACTAATATTTGGGCGATCGTAGTAATTTCCTGAAATTAATATACTTTCCATCTTACATTCTTTGCAAATTTTTATCTACATCTTCCCCTCTGTCTTTCCTTAAAATTAAATTCACTTCAATTTAGCTTTAATTAACAGCTAACTATACCACATCACCTTTCCTTTAACTCTATAAATAAATAAATCTCGGTTTGATGTAGACACCTAGTTATGTGTAAAACAGTAATACCAAACAAGTTATCCTGTTACCCATATCCAGCTAATTCTATCTCCCCATTTCATTAATAAAGGTTCTCTATTTGCAAGCAAATATTTAAGGTGACACTTAATCTATGGTATATAATATGGTATATAATTTAAACAACTTCTGACAGAAGCCTCCCTTACCTTTCTAAACTCAATTTCACTCAGCTACTAGATGCACTTCCTGGTACCTAATGGAGTTCTACTCTGGTGCCTAAAGGAGTTCTACTCCGTGAAATGTCATTGGACGTCATTTAAAGCTTTCCTCTGGAAGATATAATACACGAGTGTCTTTTGACGCGCATGCACATTAAATCCCCTCTCCCCCCCGTTGCTCTGACCTAGCTATCACAGAGGGAGACTTGGCATTTAAAAGTTCAACAATGGGGTTTTATCCCTTTCATGCTGAGGTGAGGAGCTACCTATTACATTAGGGACAGGTACTCTGGTGTTAGGAATACCGTTTTTTAAAGTATTTTTGTGGAACATACAACCTTGAAGGTCCTTTTAGTAAATATTGATCCTACGCAACGTGCCTTGCTACACCTACCATTCGTTGACACTGGTACCAATATGGAGACAGTTAAATCATCCCAAGCCCCATCTTTGTCCACTCATTGACCATGACGAATCCAGACGCTTCAAAGACTGATTGTCCCCTACCACCAAAATATGTTTAGACCTTGATCTGAGATTCCATAATGTTTTATCCCATGGTAGAATAATGGAAAGCTGGGTAATCTTATACGTAAAACAAAAAAACAAAACAAATCCTGTAGAATATGTTAAGTAAATTGGTAATTGTTGGAGCACAGTTATTATGGCCGGTCAATACACAATATACTAAATATCTGCCGACTGAGGTCCGGACTAAATCTAAGGCACCCGAGCATTCATTTTATCACCTGGTACGCTATTAATCTCTCTTATTCATTTGGTAAATGGATTATGGGGGTTGTTCTATATGCTCGGAAGACACAGTGATCCCGAGGATTTACACTGTATAAATTAAGAGAGGCCCGCTTGCCTCTCTATGCAGCTTCACTGGGTTTTCGAAGGTTGAATAATATTAAGAAGAGAAAAGGTCGCTGATATTTACAGAGCATGGAGGTGCGTTGGAAAACACATAGCACATTTTATTTGTAAAAGCCTACTTACAATCTTACGTTCAGATCTAGAGTATAGAGAAGAGACTGAATGAGATCATTGATACATGCCAGTATGGGATTATATCATATATCAAATTCAGCCAAGGTAGGAATGAATTTTGTGATAAACTAGACCTGATTTAATGCGTTTGTTTTTTTTTTTACAACGCTGAGATTTGTGGAAAACTGACCAGGAATTGCAAATTTTAGGATAAAATAGGCAAACTGTGAAAAAAATCATCATATTTTTCCAGCTCTGATACTTTGTCATGGAATCTTACATTTCCTTGTCAATTCTTCAAAATGTCTGATTTAATTAATTCAGCCAAAAATGATGACACAATTTGGGGGTTTATCTACTAAACAGTGAACTATAATACATTGAAAACCGGATTACAAAATTCAGAGTAAAACATCAAAGAGGAAACTATAACAGATTTGAAGAATATTTCCAAATCGGATATATTTTGCAATTTGGATCCCAGTTCACTGCAATTTGGTGCAAAATTGGGTTGTAGTAAAATACGAAGCAAATAACGTGAAAATAAAGACTATTTTTAGCATAGCTGCTTTAGTGTAAGTTTGGCAAATGGGAGGTCGGCCCCTAAAATGACTCTTTGGTGACCAGATAATAATTCTATATGTAAATCTATGTCTTTACCTGCAGAAAGCACTCGAGTCCCTTCTTTACTCTGTTGGGTGTTGTGAAGAATCCCAACACTCATCCCACCTTCCCAAACAACTTACCTTTAGAGAGCGCCACAAAGAACCCAAAGGTAGATTTTGCTTTTTATTTTCCTGTATATAAAGGAATTCTAGCCCCAGTGATGGCTGAACAGATTGAAAGAAACACAATGACAATAGAGAATTATAATAGGGGCTCTATTTACTAAACACTGAATTGTCATATATGGAAAAATGAATTGCAAAATTTATTCTATAATAGCTAATTAATGTCTATAGTGGAGTTGGAATGTTGCCATAATTTTACAATTTGGTTTTCAATTTGCTACAATTCCGAGTTTGGTGAATAAATCCCCTGTGTGTTTTTTTTTTGTCTTTATTACACAAAATAGGTTGTCAACAAGTAGATCTCCAATCTGAGGAATATTCTACTAGCGACTAGCTGACGTGTATCAATAAAGACAAAATGTACACAGATTATGTATTAATATTGTCTCTGTACGAGTGAGTCACTTCAATATATTGCCCTTATAAATTAATCACAGTGAATTGTTCTGAGTGTCATGAAAACAGACGACAAACTGACATGAGTTTTGTCGGCTCGCTGAAACATATCTAGGAAGATGAAACAGACAGGGCATTAAGCGCTACATTGCGTTCTGACGAAGCTTGTTCTGTTCCGACAAGTTGCTCGTGAACTGGAGCTGAGGATATCTTAGGACATTAAGGCAAAGATGAGTAATAAATATATAAAATAAAAGGGTACATTCACTAAACAGCTATTTAGGAGCTCGGTTGGAAACAAAACAAAAAAACTGTCAAATCTCTAACTTATTTTTCTTCCCCAATCAGACATACATTTGAAAGGCAATTATCAGCTCAATTCAACCCTTTGTATTCCATCCTTCTATCTACATTATATTTAATATATTTTTATGATTTAGATAATTATTTTTAACATTTGGCTAATTTGACCTAAAGGTTCCATTTCCTTGTAATTTCTGTTCTATTTCTGACTGACCACTACCGTCTTAGTATGCAGGGGCCAATAATAATGCTTCTGATTGCTAAACTCGGGTCAAACGGGTGTTCTGCAGAATTCGCAAATTTCAAGCGGAAATATATCGGAATTGCGGAGTAACCAAAAACGAAATGCTGGAGCTATTCGGGTGAGGTGTGGCAGTTGGGGGTTAATATTTTAAAGTCAGTGTGAAAAAAAGATTATTGATGTTAAAGGAGTCGTTCACTAAATGTTGACTTATAAATATATAAATATTTCCCTATGAACCAAATAGTGTACTGCAAAATATATACATAATATTATATGACTCATATATTTTGAAATCCTTCCGGATCACGCTGTCCTGAAATATTTTTAATCTTTGGAAAGAATAATTTGGCAGAACCGAGATTTCTCACCGTATACAAGTCTGCTGATTTCTACATTTGGAATATATTGTGACGATCAATGATGACAGAAGTATCTACTACAACTACTGCCTCGTTTCTGTTCATTTCCTGTATTATATTAATCCCTGCATCTGGTTTAATAACCGCAGCTGTAGACACAGGAAATCAAACAATGATTTACATTAAGGCAATAACCAGATTACTCTTTATAGATTTGGGGCTAGTAAATTCTGTATACATGGAGACAGGTGGGAATTTCTCACCCATTAAACTGGCATAGAGATTTATCGGAGCACATTAGCCAGTTCTCAAGGAGATGCTAATCAGTGTTATGTAACCTCATTCGCCTACTGAAGCAATGTTTTCTAAACATGGATTTATTTACCCTCTGGTCACATTCCCTGAAAAGCTTTTTTCGTGTGATATGATATTAAAATACCAGCGTTTTGTTTACAGAATACAAACCAAGCAGGGTCATGTGAATTTAGTTTCTTTGCAACATGATAAACCAGTATTTTCATAGGATAAGCATAGGGGATAGATGTTTAGCATTGTATTAAGTCCATTGGCACACTGTCACAAGTAGAATTGGGCAGAAATTATTTTCACAAATGAATCACGAGTTAATCTACTCTTTAACGAATTGATCCATTCGGGATTTACTTGACTGATCGATTTGTTCGGACATAGATTAAAAGGAATTTGGTTTGTTTGTCGCAAGTGAAATGATTTGTGCACGTACAGCATGCAAGTAGTGTTAATATAATAACCTGTATAAAATCTGCACCTGCCTTGCAAAGACTTCTCATTGAGCTGCATTGGGAAGTCTGTTAAATGGGCAGCCTCAGAAAGTCTGAGCGGGGTTAGAAGGGGAGGGCTTGCAAAGGCTGCAAACAAGAGAAATGCAGCTCATGCAAGCTGTTTTTTGAGATATACCCCGAGTGAAAAAAAATGCATAATTAAATGCATGCAAGTTTTCATTTGGGGTATATCTATTAAACAGTGATGTTTATTAATTTTGTATTTGGGCAATGGAGTGTCCCTTTAAATTTGAAATTCACTCTGAATTCACTTCGAATTCTCAGTCATTCCCACTTTAGTGAATAATCCTGTAAGTAGTCTATTTTCCTTTAATATAAAGTCTAGTTTTCCCATATGCTTATACAATGGTTTTATTACATCTTCCCAATTATTCTGAGACAGCTTAATATCCCAAATAAAGTGTGTACATTTAATATGGGGATAGGTATAGCATTATTTAAATATAAGACACTGTGTCTGCAGTGATTTGTGCACATTAAAGGGACATTCAAATGCTGACAGGAGTTCAAAGTGAATTCAGACTGGACTTGGAGATTCGGATTGGTGAGAATTGGAATTTGGCAGCATTTTGACCGATTCAGTGTCCATTTCAATCTCAGAAATTCGAATCAAAGTTAAACTGAAATTCTTCACAATTGAAATTTTTTTAAAAAATCGTTTGTTTTGCAGTGCACAAATCTAGTAGGCATGGCCACTTAAAGGGACACTATAAGCACTATCTGACACTGGATGTCTTAATTTTCTGCATGAGGACACCGCTCGTTGCGTTGGGGTTAATGACAAGGGAGGGGGAGGCAGGGGAGCAATAGCTTTGTATTCCTGGCACTATAGTATCCCTTTAACACTTACTTCATTTACAGTCTTAGAGTTGTTTTTGTTTTGTTTTTACATTGTAAGCACTTTTTCCTTTCATTTAGGGCTTCCCCGGCAATTTTCAGACTGATTTGAAAGTTTTTGAATGTTTCACCACAATTCTTCATAACTGGAAATTGTTAAAAAACCAGAATTTTATCAATTCGTAAGAGCCAACATTTTATTGTCAGGCACAAGTCTAATTCAAACAGAATTTTATATTTTTGAGCAAAATAGTCAACTTGAATTCTGGGGAATTTTTGTACAATTCAGCTATTTTGAACTCAATTTGATATTCACTTAGAATTCATTGTAAATTCCTTACAATTCCCATTTCATAAAAATAATAATTAAAAAACGGTATTATTTTTCTTTTATGTGATTTCCTACTAAACAAACTCCATGTGTCTAACCACCTTTGACAGCTACGGTTTCAATCTGAAAAAATTTCTGTATGTATGTGATTGATATATCTGAGAACAGAGAGGAGGCGATCAGGGGACTGAGAATTTTAGGACAAAATTAACTAAAATAGAAACTATTAGATAACACTTTTTTCCAGACATTTATCATATCTCCTGATTTACTAAATACAAAAGATTTAACATTTTGCTATTCAACCATCACAAGTCCATATGTTAATATGAAGGTTGTTTTTTTTATATATATTAATAAAAATAATATCAATTCTGGTATCTGAAGTGTGATAGCAGGTGATAAAAAAATTCACAGACTTTAAAATTTGCCTTTTCTCACATCATGTGGAGTTTAACATCTCACATTACAGGAAAAAGTGAGAACTCCATGTGGAGTACATGGGGTGTGTATTCTTTGAACATACATGTTGAGGATACTGAGAGAAGATAGTTACTAGGGATTTTATTCTAGAAACAGATATAATGAGTTATGGCCACAAACTTTATCTGGAGTTTCCCATATTCTGAGGTTCATCCTTCCCAGTTAGGGCAGTGATGCTATGGAATCTACTCAATTACAGTTCTGGTGACATAAATGTGTTTCTAAGAGGCTGACCAAGGATACAAACAGGTACATTTAGAATTATTTGCTCTATTAAAACAGCTCTGTCAGAAAGCCAGTCATACCGACAGACAGAAAGAATAAAATCCATCCAACGATCAATCAACCAATTAATCAATCAATCAATCAATCAACCAACTAATCGATAGACAGGAAGACTTTATGATCTATGGAATGAACATGGACATTTAACAGGAGAACCATCTTTGTATCATAGTGTGGAAGTGGATTTTAAAAAACATGGCTTGTGTCTGTTTCATGTATGTACACTGTGTTCTTTCAAGGAGTGCGTCAGTGTTCTAGGGAGTGCGCTGATTCACTGCTTGGATAATTAGCGCAGTTTGACCAGGAGACACTTTTGAAGCCTAAGGCAGGAAAGCTGTGTCCTGTGTCTGACCCCAGATTACTAGTAGGGAATAATTAGTGGAGATTAACCGGCTACAATGTAGACACTTAACACCTCTTACACTGAAGCAGTAATATAGAAAATCATCCAGGGAGCTACAGGAATCACATTCGGAAAGAACAAACTACAAAACAGAAACAGAAACACCATCGTTTCTGTAGGAATGACAATGGTTTCATTACAGGGTTAAACACACTCCTTGCAGCTTTCGTCCTGACAATCACCGCTTCCCTTGTGGGAACTGAGTCAGACTCGATTCTCAATAAAATGCTGCTCGCAGAGACCATCTGATTGGCGCAGTACAGAAATTCACAGCACATGCGCAATAGTCTTGTAATGCTTCCTTGTGTATTGTCTGAGATCATCGCTCTTGATAATCTCAGCAAGGTAATACTCACCTTTTAACTCTCATGGCATGGGGGGGGGGGGGGGGGAGGACACCAATATAGAAATAGTTACACTATAGCATTAGGAATACATGTGTGTAACAGTGGATTGAGAAAGAAGAGAAACATTGGCCTTATCACTGCGGGAATGCAAAAAATAAATCTCTGCTACATAAAGTGAACCTGTTATGTAAATATTAACAATGTCTAAATCTCCCAAATTAGGCCCAGACTTGCCATCGAGCAAACCTGTTATCTCGCTCACCGGCCGGTGTAAGGTTTTACTCTACAAACATTTCCGTACTGTACAAGTTGAAAGTCAGTATGTTTTATGTATATATTATTTATTTTAAAAAGTTCATGTTTTGCTATAATTACTACTTGTGCTCATTTGATTATCTACCTGCTAAGGGCCTGCATGCTGGGGATTGAATTTAGGACAGGAAATAAAGCTTTCATACCATGGACACACAGCATGACTAACACTTAGACGGATGCTGTTTGTATTGATTAACAGCTTTGTATCCAGGACATTGTCATATAAGGTGATCTACACGAGGCTGCCTTTTCACAGGAAAAAAGGTCCCTTGCTCGTGAGAGCAGTCACTTTTAAAGGGACATTGCATTACACAAATACAAAATAAATAAATCACTCTTCATTAGATACACCCAAAATAAAAACATGTATGCGTTAATTATGCATTTTTACACTGCGGTATATCTAAGAACAGCGTAAAAATGTTGCTGGTCTCTTGTCTGCAGCCTTTACAAGCCCTCCCTTTCTAACCCCGCCCAGACTTTCTGTGGCTGTCCAATCACAGACTTCCCAATGCAGCTCAATGAGAAGTCTTTGCAGTTGGGCAATTGCTGCCTTTTCAAGTTTATCTCCACTGAGTTAACCAAAGCAGGAAGTAACAGGACCGGTTGATTGATTGACAGCCAGGAAGGTGTAACAAGGTTAATATATAAAAGTGTCAATTTCTACTGAAACTTCAAATATAAAGCATCGCAACATGATAAACTTCAGAGCTCCACTCCCACATGTGGTGTATTATTACTCAGTACTGTATATTATTACCATATGCGGCGTATTATTACACAATGCTGTATAATATTACCACATATGGTGTATTATTACCCAACGCTGTATATTATTACCACATGTATTATTATCCAATGCTGTATATTATTACCACATGTGGTGTATTATTACCCAGTATTGTATATTATTACCACATGTGGTGTATTATTACCCAATACTGTATATTATTACCATATGTGGTGTATTATTACCCAATGCTGTATATTATTACCCAAATGCTGTATATTATTACCACATGTGGTGTATTATTACCCAATGCTGTATATTATTACCACATGTGGTGTATTATTACCCAGTATTGTATATTATTACCACATGTGGTGTATTATTACCCAATGCTGTATATTATTACCACATGTGGTGTATTATTACTCAATACTGTATATTATTACCACATGTGGTGTATTATTACCCAATGCTGTATATTATTACCCAAATGCTGTATATTATTACCACATGTGGTGTATTATTACCCAATACTGTATATTATTACCACATGCTGTATACTATTACCCAATGCTGTATATTATTACCCAAATGCTGTATATTATTACCACATGTGGTGTATTATTACCCAATGCTGTATATTATTACCACATGTGGTGTATTATTACCCAATACTGTATATTATTACCCCATGCTGTATATTATTACCCAATGCTGTATATTATTACCCCGTATGTATATTATTACCCCATACAGAATATTATTGTCTATACTGTATATTATTACCCCATGCTGTATATTATTATGCATTACTGTATATTATTACTCCATGCTGTATATTATTACTCATTACTGTATATTATTACCCCATGCTGTATATAATTACCCCATGCTGTATATTATTACGCATTACTGTATATTATTACTCATTACTGTATATTATTACCCCATGCGGTGTATTATTACCCAATACTGTATATTATTATCCAATACTGTATATTATTGTCCATACTGTATATTATTACCACATGTGGTGTATTATTACCCAATACTGTATATTATTGTCCATACTGTATATTATTACCCCATAGTGTATATTATTGTCCATACTGTATATTATTACTCAATACTGTATATTATTACCCCATTCTGTATATTATTGTCCATACTGTATATTATTTCCCCATACACTATATTAACTCTTAGAGCAGACAGGTAAAGACGGATAGAGCTTAGTATTAGTCAATAATTCTTAGCCTGGCCTGGGAACATGCAGGGGGACAGATTTCAGGGAATGTTTCTGTTAGTGACATTTGGATAGGGGCACCTCCTGGGTAATCCAGCCTGAGACAGAGCTCTGGACATGGTGTCAGTATTGCTGCAGAGCTGCACTGCTCATACTCTGCTCAGACAGAGCCCCAGGGAGCCGGCATCACCTTCCGGAGGGTAATACGGACTCACAAGGGTGGATAAGATACATGTTTAGCCTGGAACACAATGCGATTAGAAACATATCAGAGCAGTGCTCAGGGTTCCAAGAACATTTCATTTAACTCTGTGATATCTGGAGAGAACAGCAATGGGAGCAAGTCTAATACTTATACCTGCGTCTTTCTCTCTGTCACTATCTGTCTCTTTCTCACTGGCTGTCACTTCTCCTGTCACCCTCTCTCTCTCTGTCACTCCATATCTGTCACTGTCACCCTCTCTGTCTCTGTCACTCTGTCTCTCTCATTGTCATACTCTCTGTCTCTGTCACTATCACCCCCTTTGTCTCTGTCACCCTGTCTCTCTCATTATCATACTCTCTGTCTCTGTCACTATCACCCGCTCTATCTATGTCCCTCTGTCTCTCTCATTGTCATACTCTCTGTCGCTGTCACTATCACCCTCTTTGTCTCTGTCACTCTGTCACCCTCTCTGTCACTCTGTCACTGTTACAGTCTCTGTCTCTATCACTGTCACCCTCTTTGTCTCTGTCACTCTGTCTCTGTCACCCTCTCTGTCACACTGTCACTGTTACCCTCTCTGTCTCTGTCACTCTGTCTCTGTTACTGTCACCCTCTCTGTCTCTGTCACTCCATCTCTGTCACCCTCTCTGTCTCTGTCACTCTGTCACTGTCACGCTCTCTGTCTCTGTCACTCTGTCTTTCTCATTGTCATCCTCTCTGTCCCTGTCACTCTGTCTCTCTCACTGTCACCGTCTCAGTTTCTGGCGGTCACTGTGTCCTTTACCTCTGGTTTCATATTACCCCACTCCCCTTAGATTATAAGCTCCTTTGACCAGCACCTTCCTGCACATTTAACTCATCTTGTTGCTTCTATTTGTTTGTTTGTCCACCTATTGTACAGCGCTGCAGAATCTGTTGGTGCTTTATAAATAATATGAATAATTGTCTGTCACCATTTCTTTTCTCGCTCGCTCTTTGTCACTCTGTCTCTCTTACTGTCTGTATGTTACTTCCCCCTCTTTCTTGTCTCTCTCTACCTCAGTCTGTCTCTCTTTCTCTCTCTCTGATAACTATCTTTCTCTCTAAACCCTGCCTTTCTCTCTCTCTCTCTCTCTCTCTCTCTCTCTCTCACTGTCTGTCTATCCTCCCATCCCCCACACACAGTATTTTACTATCCTTCTCTGTCTGCGTTGTGTTCTTGCTCTCGATATCAGAGATTCTTGGAAGGCATTTTCGGGATCTGGTGGGAATGTATGGAGACTAATTAGAGGGAATAGTGTTATCAATCAGTGAATGTAATGCTGGATCCCATGTAGAGCGTGGAATAGAATGCAGCATTCCCCTTATCTCTCTGTACATCTTGCCAGTCCATGTTCTATACACGGCTTTCTGGCGGCCCAGAACACCTCTCTGATAACAGACAGAATCACATTCTCTTGGGTCCCAATACCCATTTACTAAGGTGTGTGGAACACAATCTCCCAGGGGAGATAGCATGTTTGGAGTTGTGAATGTGGCCTTGTTTTTCAGCCGAACAACATGACTTAGAATGACAGAAAATGGAAGAATAGAAGAAAAATCCTCCCACAATAACATTCGAATAAGATGTCTTGGGATTTAACTGATTAACAAAAAAGATGTCTTGGGATTTAATAACCGCAAATGAAGGCAACATAATATTTTATAGAAATGTTCAATTGGCAAATATCCGGCATTTTATTTACTTTGCAAATTAGCATACGACAACTAGGGCTGGTTAAATGCCTGTTTTCACACTGTGTACATTTAAAGATTTGGATTTTAATTTCCATCTCTCATCTCTCTCAGCACCTCTCCCTTTATAGTGTCTGAAAACCCCGACACAGCTAATCTACCAATCAGATCTCCTCCATGATATCTTATGGCTTCTATTGTATTGGTTAAAAATGCCATAGCTCACACCGAGAGCTTGTCCATCTCATTAAAGATGCTAAAAACCATAACCACTGCAACTTGTTATAGTAGTTACAGTACTTGTAGCCTGTGGAAACTGTGCCCTGGGTCTGGAGAAAAAAACTTTTTTAAAGAGAGCTGACTAAAACCAGTGGCCCCTGAGGTATCACTTAAAATCAGTTCGACCAGGAAGCCAGGGACAGTTCTTAAATCTAGTATCACCATCAGCACTACAGATAGATGAAATGATGATGGAAGTATTACTTTACTGAGAGGGTAGTGGATGCATGGAATAGCCTTCCAGCTGAAGTGGTAGAGGTTAACACAGTGAGGGAGTTTAAGCATGCGTGACATAGGCATAAGGCTATCCTAACTATAAGATAAGGCCAGGGACTAATGAAAGTAGTTAGAAAATTGGGTCGAATGGTTCTTATCTGCCGTCACAATCTATGTTTCTATGTGCTCACACTGCCCTTTTAATCACATAAAATATACAATGATCAGCCACAACATTAAAACCACCTGCCTAATATTTTGTAGGTTCCCCTCGTGCTGCCAAAACAACTCTGATGCATAGACGCATGGACTCTCCAAGTCCTCCATTTATCAGATTGTTGTTCCAGGACTTCTCACAGTTGCTCAATCGGATTGAGATCTGGGGAAATTGGAGGCCATGGTAACCTTGAACTCTTTGTCATGTTCCTCAAACCAATCAAACCATTCTTGAACAATGTTTGCAGTGTGGCCGGATGCATTATCCTGCTGAAAGAGGCCACTACCACCTGGGAACACCATTGCCATGTATGTGGTGGGCAATAATCTCTAGGTAGGTGGTACATGTCAAAGTAAGAGTAAGGTTTCCAAGCAGAACATTGCCCAGAGCATAACCCTGCTTCGGCTGGCCAGCCTTCTTTCAATAATGCATCATGCTGCCATCTCTTCCCAAGGTAAACAAAGCACAAACAACCAGCCATCCACCTGATATAAAGGAAATGTGATCCATGAGACCAGGCAATCCTTTTCCACTGCTCCATGATCCAGCTCTAATGCTTAGGTCTCCATTGAAGGTACATAGACAGAGGTCATCATGGGCACTCTGACAAGTCTATGGCTATGCAGCCCCATACGCAGCAAACTGTGATGCTCTGTTTGTTCTGACCCCTTTCTATTACGGCCATTAATCCATAATGAGATCTCCATGTGCATCAATGAGTATTGGGTGCCCATACCCCTGACACCGGTTTACTGGTTGTCCTTTTTTGCATCACTTTTGGTAGGTACTAATTACTGCATGCCGGCAACACAACACAAGACTTGCCGTTTTGGAGATGCTCTGACCCGGTCATCTAGCCATCATTATTTGGCCCTTGTCAAAGTCACGCAGATCTTTTTGCTTGACCATTTTTTATGCTTCCAACACATGGAATTCAAGAAGTGACTGTTCACTTACTGCCCAATAACAACATAATCAATGTTATTCACTTCGCCTGTAATTGTAACAATATAATTAATAGTATTTTAATGTTATTCACTTCGCCTGTTGCTGGTTCTAATGTTGTGGCTGATCAGTGTATGTAGAGCGGTGAGCGTACACATGTTGCCAAGTTTTTGACTATATCAGTTATCTCACCTGCAATACCTATTTCCATCCCTCCATGCTGAGGACAGATGGTTTATTGTTTGTTGTGGGGGAGGAAGGTAAACACACTAATAGTCACTAAATGGTAATTGCCCTGAACTGCCAGAGAATTTCAGACATCAGGAAAAATAAGAATTTCTGGCAAGTCCATATTTCTTATTTATTCAAACCAAAACAGGCAGAGCTGGAAAAATATCTGATTCGAATAACTTTTTTTAATTCAAGTATTATTATTTTAAATTATGTGATCTTTTTGTGAATGATTTTCCAAGGATGAGGTAACTGCAAATTTTAGACATAAAAAAGGCTGTTTTTGAACATGTCTGCTATTTAGATAAGATTCCAAACAGTTCCCAGGGTGAATCCCCAACAATTCACAAATTAAAGAATAAATCTATTTGTTTCTGTAATTTCTTTAGGGTGTACCCAATAAACTGAGTTAAAGTAATAAAATAAAATGCTATAAATTAAACTATGTAGCTTTTACTTGATTTCCTGCGCACAGCGACTGCCATTTAATTGCTAGTTTTTTACAATGAGTCATGGTAATCACTACCTGGCTTTAAAAGGGCTGTCTGGCCATGTTTAGAACTGAAAGGCCTGGCTGGTAACATTTTACTTTCTGCAGATTTCCTGTGACATTCAGCATCCTACGTGTTAGAAGGATACGGAAATATCTCTCAGCAGGGCTACATGTGTGTGTCACATTTACCAATCAGTTCCTACATAGATACATAGTTACATGATAGAGACATGCGTCCATCAAGCTCAGTACTATTGAGACTGAAGATAAAATTATTTTGGATCAGAATGTTCTAAGGATGCGGAATTCACCAAGCTAGTTGGGTTCCATTAAGCTCCTGGTGAATAAGTAATAGGAAGTGATTAATGTTGTGTCATATCTTCTAAGGGTGGGTTGTATATGCGTACTGTTGGGGAAAGGTTCGTAACAGTCACATGACGGGGCAGAGCTTGTGATTGGAAATACAGTCTGACTTGCAAGGTGACACAGACAGACTACATGGAGGGGACTTCACAATAATTTGCCAGAGAGGGCGTAAGAAGGGTTATTTAGATGATTTGTCCCAGCTGGACAGATTGAGCACATAAAAGACTGAGGAAGATTAAAAGGAGGGGTATTTAAATGATTTGGAGGGAGGGGTATTTAAAATCCTTGGAGACACTGGAGGGAAGTGCATTTAAAAGATTAATTTGACTGAATGTAAGAGTTCCTCAGGCAGACTGGGGTGGATGAAGATTCAGGTGGAGTGGTGGTTGGGGGTACAATTGAGTGATATAAAGATTCAGGTAGAATGGGGGGATATAAAGATTCAGGTAGAATGGAGGGATATAAAGATTCAGGTAGAATGGGGGGATATAAAGATTCAGGTAGACTGGGGAAGTGGGATATAAAGATTCAGGTAGACTCAGGCAGTATAAAGATCCATATTGAATGTGTGGAGGGGCATATAAAGATCCATATTGAATGTGTGGAGGGGCATATAAAGATTCAGGTAGACTGGAGGGAGGGAGTATATAGATTCTAGTAGATAGGATGGAGTGGGTTTAAAGATTCAGATAGACTGGAGGGAGGGGGCTTAAAGATTCAGATAGACTGGAGGGAGGGGGCATAAACATTTAGGTAGACAGGAGGGAGGGGATATAAATATTCAGTTAGACAGGAAGGAAGGGGTATAAAGATTAAGGCTGACCGGAAGGAGAGGGTTATAAACATTCAGGTAGACAGGAGGGAGGGGGTATAAAGGTTAAGGGTGACTGGAGGGAGGGGGTATAATCATTCAGGTAGACAGGAGGGAGGGGGTATAAACATTCAGGTAGACTGGAGGGAGGGGTATAAAGATTAAGGGTGACAGGAGGGAGGGGCATAAACATTCAGGTAGACTGGAGGGAGGGGGTATAAACATTCAGGTAGACTGGAGGGAGGGGTATAAAGATTAAGGGTGACTGGAGGGAGGGGGTATAAAGATTAAGGGTGACAGGAGGGAGGGTGTATAAAGATTAAGTGTGACTGGAGGGAGGGGGTATAAAGATTCATGTAGACAGGAGGGAGGGGGTATAAACATTCAGGTAGACTGGAGGGAAGGGTATAAAGATTAAGGGTGACTGGAGGGAGGGAGTATAAAGATTAAGGGTGACTGGAGGGAGGGGGTATAAAGATTAAGGGTGACTGGAGGGAGGGGGTATAAACATTCAGGTAGACAGGAGGGAGGGGGTATAAACATTCAGGTAGACTGGAGGGAGGGTGTATAAAGATTAAGGGTGACTGGAGGGAGGGGGTATAAAAATTAAGGGTGACTGGAGGGAGGGGGTATAAACATTCAGGTACACTGGAGGGAGGGGTATAAAGATTAAGGGTGACTAGAGGGAGGGGGTATAAACATTCAGGTAGACTGGAGGGAGGAGTTAGAGTCTGGCTGCAGAGAGATCCAGCAGGTGTTTCAGAGAGATTCAATACACAACAAAACACGACAAACAATTTAATGAAGTGACCCCTAGACAATTCTCATTTTGTCAGAATGTTTAATTGTCCCTGTTCGTTTGTTAAATTGCTCATTACTAAAAAAAATGTCTTCTGTCGCGAGTTACACAGAGCTACCAGAGTTTCTTAAAGAAATAAATGGGACAATATAAAGCCAGATCATGAGACACATATGGAGACAGAGAAACAGGATGATGGGGAGACGGGCTACTGTGTCCAGGAATGTTTTTACCTCCATAAACTCCCACTAACTCCTAACTTTCTTCCACAATGTCACTCCTGCTGCTTTTTCATTATTTTTGCACAGAAGCCTTTAACCATCACTCATAAAAATCCATTTCAATATCACTGTTGCTGCCCGTCTAAATGAACCTGTGCAGGAAGAGCACAGTGATCGCATCACAGCAGCCAGCAACCACTGGCCACCAGGGAGAGGGTTGGCTCCAGCCTTCCCAGAGCAAGGTAGAGAGGCCGGGTGGACCTCTTAATTACTAAATGTGTGTGTTTGAATGTGATTTTTCTGCGTGTAAGCCAGTAATTATGTGTGTATGTGATTATGTGTCTTTGATTTTATGCATGTGGGCCTGTGATTGTGTTTGTGTATGTCTGTGGTTATGTGTGTGATTACGTATATGTGTGTGTATTTATTTGATTATGTGTGTAAGGGATTGCATGTATAGGTCTGTGCTTGTATGTGTGTGTGTGAGTCTAATTGTGTGTGTATAGCTATGATTGTGTGTGTGTATGTATATGATTGTGGGCATAGGTGTGAGATTGTATGTGTGCGTTTGTGGGTCTGTGATTATGTGTGTATGTCTTTGATTGTCTATAGGTCTGTGATTGTATGTGTGTGTATCTGTGATTGAATGTGTATGTGTGTTGGTTTGTGATTGTGTTTGTGTAAATCTGTAATTATGTGTATGTGTGTGTATGACTGTGATTGTATGTATGTCTGTGGTTGTGTGTATATCTGTGTGCTTGTGTATGTCTGTGATTATATTTGATTATGTGTGTGTGCGTGTGTGTGTATGTCTGTGATTGTTTGTATGTCTGTGGTTGTGTCTATATCTGTGTGTTTGTGTATGTCTGTGATTGTATTTGATTATGTGTGTGTGTGTATGTCTGTGATTGTGTGAAGAGGTCTGTGATCATGTTTGTGGAAGTCTGTGATTATGTGTATGTGTGTGTATGACTGTGATTGTGTGTATGTCTGTGATTGTGTGTATATCTGTGTGTTTGTGTATGTCTGTGATTATATTTGACTATGTGTGTGTGTGTGTATGTCTGTGATTGTGTGAAGAGGTCTGTGATCATGTTTGTGTAAGTGTGTGATTATGTATATGTGTGTGTATGACTGTGATTGTGTGTATGTCTGTGACTGTGTGTATATCTGTGTGTTTGTGTATGTCTGTGATTATATTTGACTATGTGTATGTGTGTATGTCTGTGATTGTGTGAAGAGGTCTGTGATCATGTTTGTGTAAGTGTGTGATTATGTGTATGTGTGTGTATGACTGTGATTGTGTGTGTGTCTGTGATTGTGTGTATATATGTGTGTTTGTGTATGTCTGTGATTATATTTGACTATGTGTGTGTATGTCTGTGATTGTGTGAAGAGGTCTGTGATCATGTTTGTGTAAGTGTGTGATTATGTGTATGTCTGTGAGTATGTGTATGTATGTGTGTATGTGATTGTGTGTATGTCTGTGGTTGTGTGAGAAGTTAGAGTCTGGCTGCAGAGAGATCCAGAAGGCTGCAGAGAGATCCAGTGTGTTTGTGTATGTCTGTGATTATGTGTGATTATGTGTGTGTCTATGTCTGTGATTGTATATATGTCTGTGTGTGTATGTCTGCAATTGTGTGTGTGTGTGTGTGTATAGGTCTGTGTGTATATAAGTCTGCGATTGTATGGGTGTATAAGTCTGTCATTATAAGTGTGTGTATGTATATGTGATTGTGTATGTATGTGTATATCTGTGGTTATGTGTATATGTACATATATTTATATGTGTTTAGTAGATAGCTCCCTAAGTTAATATCTTTAAATATGGCAATTCCACATAAGGATAACAAATAAGGTAGTTATCTACTAAAACAATGAAAATCAATCAAAATTAAGAAAAGGGCTTTTGAAGTATTATTATATAAATTATTTATATTATATAGTCTATGTGTGGCCCAAGACAATACCTCTTTGTTCAATATGGCCCAGGGAGCCACACATTTACACCCTTCCTTTTAATCCCTAAATCCCATTACATTTCACGCAACTATTGCACATTTTAGTCCAATTTCTGGATTTAACATGGCTTTTGATAGATCAGAGGTTCATATCTCACCACGCAGATTCCTCAATGTACCCACAAATTACCAGAAATTATCAAAGTGATAATGCCACAAATTGTTCTGTACATCTGAATAATAATGCAGGGTATAATATTGTTCCCAATAATGCATTATCATTATGTAAAAGCATCACACTTGCAACTATACAATGTATGCATAGACAGGGATATAGAAAATTGGGCTATTCATAACACACTCCCACAATGCTTTGCAACTTTAGATTCCAGACAATGTTTGGTTGGTTTGATTAGTGATTATTATAATCAGGGAATACAAAGTAAAAAAGCATTGAGTGTGATAGACAGACACAAACTGATACAATTGTTTTTAACACTTTGCTCACAAGCTTACAATCTAAGTCTCAGCCTGCTGCTGTATGAACAGCCTATGGTTTGGGTCTATATAGTTTTAAGTAATACTCCAGCTTGCTGAAAGTGCTTTATGTGTGAAGAGTATGTCCTCTTTTTTTTCATTTTACAAATGTGTAGATTTCAGTAGAAATTGACACTTTTATAAATTTACTTGGTTACAACCCACTGATGTTCAATCAGACAGCTAGTTCTATTACTTCCTGGTTGTTTAACTCAGTGGAACTGAACTCACTAGAGAGTCAATTGCCAAGAGCACCTGCCTTGTAAATACTTCTCATTAGAGGTACAGTGCAGGCACACAGGCCACTTCAGCCCATTGAAATGGTCTGGGTGCATTGTACCATCAACCTTAACCCTAAGCATGAAATGATTGCAGTTTTTATAAATTGCAATAATTACCTGCTAGGGTTAACTCCTCCTTTAGTGTCTATCTACCAGCTGTAGAATGTCTCGTGTAAATAGATCTTTGGGGTAAGATAATAATTTAAAAAACAAACAAAAAAAATCTTTAAAAAGGCACATTTTTGAAGAAAACAAAATTACAATACAAAATAGAACTATGTTTTCGGGAGAAATATTATTGTGCTAAAAATGTTAACATGACAAACTCACATTAAATATAAATATATAGCACTCTACTTGGGTAATAATCAAGACTTTGCAAATTAAATTGCAAAGTTTGGGCTAAAATAGCTCTGCTATGGGAAACCACTCAAAACCTCAACTATTTTCTGAGCTCCGATACTTGGGCCTAAATGTTATGATTCAGTTGATGGTTTATCACAATTCTGTCTGTCTATGTATATGCGCAGATATCGCAAATGCAGATAGAAACATTGTGCAAAGCCCGCTGCTACTGAATTTAAATAACTCAAGTACATCACATATAGCCCTCCTATGTCTGTACCCCTTTTAGAGAGTGTATTCACTATCCTGGCAATGTACAATACTTTTTATATTAAGATAACAACGCAATAAAAGCAATACCAGCACTACTGCTAATAATCTGTTTAGAATAACCATCTGTAATATGATCTTTGAGATTTGTAACAAAATAGGAAGTGGAGTACAACATTCTCCCCCTCCCCCTTCTTGTTCTACAGGAAGAGTTGTACATTGGGTACCTACCTGTTCAGTTCCTTGGAAGCAGATCCTACAGAGAGGGGTCCTCATCCCACTGTCCAGACTGCTGGTAACAGAGTATCTATCTTCAGCTTTCCCTTTGCAGAACTCATCTGATGAAGTGCTACCAACCACAGACATGGGCTGGTGCTGAAGTCCAATAGCTGTTGCTGGGCAACTCCAGTCCTCCTCTGGAGTTGTCCCACCTATTGGCGCCCTCCATGGTCTCCCCAAGGCTGTCAATGTGTTATTATTGGCTGCCAAGCCACCCCCAGGGCCCAGATCACATTGTGAGGTGGTCATGGGCAAGCTAAGGGATGGAGGAGGGCGCCGAAGCAGGAAGACTTTCAAGTCATTGAAGAACATGTGGCAGCGGCACTTGATTAAACCCTGGTGGCGCAACATCTGTCTAGAACCCAGTAATGCACAGCACCATAAAAGCAGAAAGGTTCTCAGGAACATGTGCAAAATTTGGACTACACAAAATAAGTTGGAAAATAGCTGGAAACCCAGAAAATTCAGTGCCTCAGTGTGGACTTGTGCAAGCTCCACTGTTGAGATGTTGTCTTCTTTAGTGCTGGACACCCAACTGATCCAATGCCTTGGTGTAGCCTTGTGAAAACTCTAGTGTTAAGATGTCGTCTTGATAATTGGACACCCCAGGGATCCAATGCATTGGTGTAGACTTGTGCAAGCTTCAGCTTTGAGATTTCTTTACAGTTGGACACCCAAGTGATCCAATGGTGTAGACTTGTGCAAAATCCAGTGTGGAGATTTATTTAGAACTTGACACCTATTGATCTAATGCCTTAGTGTAGACTTGCGTGTGCTCCAGTACTGAGATGTCTTCTTCAAAGTTAGGAACTCAGGTGAATGCCTCTGAGTGGACTTGTGCAAGCTCCTCTGTTGAAATGTTGTCTACTTCCCAATGGTATCTCCTTTATTACCCCCAAAGTGTTGGCATAAAGCAGATGTTAATAGACTCCAACATAGGCTATCAGCGGATCAACTGCCAACTTTGAACAATTTCCTTTTGCCTGGCAAACCAGGTTTATTATTTCTCTTTAAAAAATCATGAAATGTATACCTCCAGATGAGTTGATCTAGTCACTAGGACTTTGGAAACAAAGAGACAAGATTCTATGTGGGTTTAGCATCAATTCTGAACAACAGCAGTTGATGAGATTAAAAAGCACTGCCTTTCAATTAAAAAATATTGTTATAAAAACAGGTCAATCAATAACTTTCACATACTATTGAAATCAGGTAAATAAATGACATTAGGAAATGCATTCCAATTAATTCCAGAACTTGTATTTCTTCTTCTGCATGGGTTTGGTCAATAAGCACCCACATCTGGGTATGTCACTAACAAATTCATCCAAATGGAATTTAAACACATGGGGGGCAAAGCACATACTCCTTTACAGATAATACACAAATAATACATAAATCAATAACAAAAAGCTGGGAGAACGTGGACAATCCTTATTTCACGTTTCCCCATCTACATACAATGTCACCAGGGGGCTATAGAAAAAACATAGACAACACTGACCAGGGAAAATTCTTAGTATCAGAGCTTACTGCATAGCTTGTGCTTTTATCCCACCTCAATGTCCAAAAAGACCACATTCCAGAGGAACATCTCAAGGTGTCATCTCCTGGACCTCTTTACCCAGCAGGCTTGCACTGGCATGGGACCATGGACCTCACTGCATGGATACAATGTAGCAGATCCCAACTACACAGTGTTCTCTCCAGTTCCTGCCTTGCATGCTAGTGCATGCAATCACCCCCTTGTTGCATCCCCCCCAATCCAGTTGCTGCTGCTGTTTCTTGTCATGCTGCTGGTCCTGATGCTGAAGCCATCTCCCTGGGATGGAAAGGAAGGATGATTGTTACAATGTATCAGGACTATTGTTTAAGCTGTTCTCAGAGAGAGAGAGAGATGGGGCAGCAGGCTGATCCCTTAATATTGCTCTTCCTGTTTGGCTTTTTGGAATAACGATGGGGGGAGGGAGCTGAGTGGGGCTGCATGGAGTGTGAGCTGTGAGTTTCAGGAAGGCTGCTGGTGCTCCTGCTGCAATTTCAGCACCATCTTCCACTGGACAGCTCCCTCCCTGTCTGCAACGTCACAGGACTGGGGGCTCTGACGCAGACACAGGGGGGGAGAACTGGGATGCTAATAGTACTTTGCAGCCAGGTGAAAGTCTGTATGACATGATCCTCTTTATTCCCTGTAAATACACAGGGCTAATGCTCCAGCAGGCTCTGCTCTGGGTACTAGGAACTGGAGGGCTGTGCTTTATTGATAAAGCCAATAATTGAGCAGAATTGACAAGTAAAATGCAAATTTCAAGGCAAAGAGCTGCACACAAAATGTTTCCAACTTAGCTATTTTTCCAGCTGACTTATAGCGACGTAATCATTCCAGTTCCTTTGTAAGTTGTCCCCAATACCCTCTTTAAAGGAAATTCTTGGAAACGAGAGAAATCTCAATGTATCCTTCCTGGTAAAGTATTTTATAAATCAGATAAAGGAACAAGCCTGCTGGGGGTGCGTGGACCCTTTAAGTCTCACAGCACAGCTATGGATAGTGTAGCCGATGTACTAGTGAGGCAGACACTTACACAAGTAGAAAAGGCTGATTTGTTTGGAGAGGGCATTAATATAGAGTGACCATATTTATATGGTCAAATGAGTAAACTTCTCCAAATTACGGCGGCGAGGAGTCGGGGGGGATGCACATTTATTTGTTTATTTCAAGAATGCCAATAATTTCAAATGTGAGGCACTGGGTGGGACAGACGTCCATCTTAATTACTACAGTAAGCTGTAGTGAGTGTGGTTCTTGGAGTGTCCCCTTAATCAGTAAATCTTGCTAATCTCTAAACGGATAAGTGAATATTCTAAAGAATTAATTGTGGTGACTTGGAAAGCAAATTTGTAAAATGTAGGTCAAAACAGCCGATTTAAAAAAATATATATAAATATTTCAATTTTATACTCAAATTGGATATTTAGTCTTATATTTGGGAAATGTTGCTTTTAAATTGGCACAATTCAATGTTAAGCAAAGAAACACCTTCGCATTTTTAGGCTTTTTTTGCAAGATGATTTTAAATAAAAATTATTCACAAAGTTACAAATCAAATTGGAAGGAAATTGTACGTTTTAGATCAAAATAGTCCAACTGGAAAACCAGATTATCTGATTCCGTTAGCTATTTAGTACTAACATATGAATGCTGTTCAATTGACAATTCATGGCTTATTGAATAATTCTAAATATATTTTATTTGACAGGGGCATTGGGGAAAATTCATCTCTATTAGACTTGTACATGGCAGAAAAATTTGGTTTAGCTGAATCACTTCATCCGAATATAAAATTTAGTTTGGCTCGTCCAAATGTCACCAATGCCAAATATTCAGGAAAATTATTCAGATGAACCAAAAAGGTGCAAAAATGGACCAATAAATGTGCTGCAAATTATCTACATAATATTATGTATCTATTTCAAAGTACGCTGATACCGAATCTGGACGACCTGCCAATTGGCATAAATTAGGACGGTTTGCAATTTCGTCGAAAGAAAGAGATCTATCACGACTGCCCTTCATGATGCATTTTTAAAAAAATATTAACTGGCTAAAGTGTGGATATGCCTACTTTGCATGCTATATTTCTAATTACGAAATATTCCCATATTATATGATGATCAAAGCAATTAAACACCATGTGACATTTGGAAAAGTAAAGTTGGAGAGGAAAAGGCACTGCGACTGTGCCAAATGTCACCCCAAAACCTGTTTTAGGACTACAAGTCTCATTATTCTAAGCCCATCACCAAGTGCTAAAAGGTGACATAGTTGAACATCAGAACGATAGCAAGCAAATAATTCAGGGTTGTTTAGGAAAGTCAAAAGCTTGCCTGAATGTGTGAAAATACATTGGCGGACAACCTTAAATGAAAATTGCTGAAGTTGTCATGGTGATAGAGTAGTTCTTTAACAAAGACTTGATTTTTTAATGACTAAAGTAATCATTGTGAGTGAAATGGGTGTCAACCTGTTAATTAACTTATTTTATTCCTTAACATGACCAGAGCAACGAATTCTGCATAGTAAATAAATTATCGCATTAGCGTAGATTGGTCGAATGCACTATTAATATATTAGATGCAAACCGTGAAATTATACATGTAGATTAAATCGTGCTTTCATTTACACAACGTATTTGCATTTTTTTTCCAATATAAGAGTAACTAAATGCATTCCCAGTTAGGTTTAAATAATTAATTTTTATGTAAATGGTCTTGTTTAGTCCATGCCCCATTGTGTAATTTATTAATTTATTAGCAACAGCTATTACGTTAAATTAGCCTTCGTTTGGAGGCTCGGATTAATGTGCAGTTTCTGCACTAAGTAGGCACATTGATATCAAACTACTTGCTTTTCAGAGCTCAATCTTGTGGCACATAAAGCTGATTTTAGACTATTCACCAATTTCAGATTCTTGAAAAGAAAAAGACAAAGTAATCTCATAAGTACGGCATTTTTAGGAACCAGAAACGTTGTGCTGAATATATCAATGATTATTTTTGCATTAACTTTATTTAGTGGAAATATCTCCAAATTTAAAGGAACACTGTAGCGTTAGAAATACAAGCATATATTCCCAACTGACACTATAGTGACCTGCTATCTGTTTAGGTTTTCGGTCTCCCCATGTGTGAAGTAAAACTAGATGTTTTACTGACTTTGATTCCTTCTCTGTGCTGGTCTCTAAGCTGTAGTGGTTATGGTGATTATAAGGTCCATTTATTGAAATCATCACCACTGCATTTTCTCAGTTATTAAAAGGTAATTATTGTGACTGATGGATTTTCAAAGTTTTTTTTCAGGTTAGCATTATTTTCATCTCTCAGTTTTAGAATTCTGTATTTATTTACTACATACACAAATATTGATATATAGACCAGCAATATTGTTGCACCGACAATCTCAACCTATCACTGGTGCCTGCTCCAAGGCTTATGTGTGACGAGCCATCTTGAGCACTTTGGGTTAAACTGTTTGTTAACCAGGAATTTGGGTATTGCGATAAAGTTGTTATGGTACATGGAGAGTTCCTTTAGTTTGGCAGATGACCCTAGAACGAAAGCAGTTCATGTCACTAGAATGCTCTTCCTGGTAGCTGCTGCACTTTCTATATCAAGGTAAAATCTACTGACTTAGCTAAAAGGTATCTATTACACTTTCTATATCACTGCTAGTCCTTGCTACTTCTACTGTAAGGCTATTCCAAGTACCTACTACCCATTCTATATCACTGTTACCTATTACTGCTTCCACTGGAAGGCTATTCCAAGTATCTACTACCCTTTCTATATCATTGTTACTGCTCCCACTGGAAAGCTATTCCGGGTATCTACTACCCTTTCTATATCACTGTTACTGCTCCCACTGGAAGGCTATTCCAGGTATCTACTACCCTTTCTATATCACTGTTACTGCTCCCACTGGAAGGCTATTCCAGGTATCTACTACCCTTTCTATATCACTGTTACTGCTCCCACTGGAAGGCTATTCCAGGTATCTACTACCCTTTCTATATCACTGTTACTGCTCCCACTGGAAGGCTATTCCAGGTATCTACTACCCTTTCTATATCACTGTTACTGCTCCCACTGGAAGGCTATTCCGGGTATCTACTACCCTTTCTATATCACTGTTACTGCTCCCACTGGAAGGCTATTCCAGGTATCTACTACCCTTTCTATATCACTGTTACTGCTCCCACTGGAAGGCCATTCCAGGTATCTACTACCCTTTCTATATCACTGTTACCGCTCCCACTGGAAGGCTATTCCAAGTACCTACTACCCTTTCTATATAACTTATCTTCTTTACTGTTACCATTAGCAGACTATTCCGAGTAGCGACTACTCTCTCTGTAAATCTGTACATTTTGCCTTACGTGGCCTCTTTGTTGTGTTCCTTCTTACATCTAATCACACATTGTTTATTGCTAGATTGATTAAAAACGTGTCATCCAAAATTATCCCTGTGGTCATTCTGTTGGTGAGGGTACATTTAAAATGCTAAAAATTGTATTATTGAGCACAAAGCTGAGAAAAGCAAATCAACAAAAACATGCAATTTTTTCATGCTAAATGACAACCTTTTTGTTCCGATTTCTTGCAGTGAAATTCCCCAATTGTTTCCTCTTTCTATTATCCATTGACATTTTTTTTTAAATGCGGCATTTGGGACAGAATGCCTGTTAGTGTTGAGATACGTGCGCTGGGCTTTATTTTTCGCATTGTAGTGTGTCAGTATGGAGTCCTTTTGTAGCATAATTCATACATCGCTCCTGTTTTTGTGCAGTTCATTTCTGCTAATGAACTCTTGCTGAGCCTTTTTAACAGACTTCATATTCTCGTACGTTTTTGTTCTTATTTATTTAAAAAATAAATAAAGAAAGAAAGTTGTCATTATTTTTCCATCCTTTTGAGGCCAGAGTATTTGGACACTGCATATCTTCTTGCACTTCAGCCGCCATAACATAAACTTGCCAACAGCAGTGGGTTCTGGGAATCGTAGTTTAATAAAAGATGGAGATCATTTTCATGAAACACACTTTATTGGCAGGATTCAGTAGCAATGAGTAGAACTTATACTTATCTTGAAAGAAAGTGTCAAAATCACATTGGCATTCCACTGTCATCCTAATACTTTGCCTAACGGGTGTTCCTTTCCAGATTTTTACACGTTTATTGAAGGATTTCACGTAGCGTTATGTAAACCCTGCTATTCTAACCATGAATATAGCATTGAGAATATTGAAATACAAGTATCAATGTTTTCTAAACCTCCATTTTGTGGTCTAAATTTGCACAAAATTCACCACAACAAAACCCCTACTTTTCAGAAATAAATAATATTTTTAGAACCCTTAAAGTATGTTTGTGAATTCCTATTTTTGTGGCTCCGTTATAAAGGCATGCAGTATCTCAGCTTTTTCTGTGGACGTCAGGCACTTTCACATTGTCAGTTTCAATTCTGCCCAACCAGACTGATCAGCCGAGACTGATGGGAGTGGTTTAAAGTAGCTCTCTCGGGCAATCACTTCTATCCTGGTTGAATAAAACTCACCCACCCTGATAATGTATATGTGTAAAATCTGTATCATAAATTCAGCAAGTATGGGGAAAGTCTTTGGTTGTGGGAGAGGAACCCTTGTTTTTGTCAAATTGTCTCCTAAGAGTTAAAAATGGGAGTCGAATGGCAACACTGAGCTGTAGTGGTTATGTTGCTTAGCGCATGTATTGAACATGTTAAATAAGCAGAGCAAAAAATGGGTCGCAAGAGTATTCTGAGAACGGACAGCAGCTAAAATAGCCTGCCCTTCGGTGGGTCCCCGCTCAGAACTCAAGGTGGTTTTAGCTCATCTTGTGCCATTAAAGAGAGAACATATCTGAAGCATATCAGACTGGTCCCACCCATACGGGCAGTCCAGATCCGAAATGCCAGCAAGTTCTCTCTGCATGAGAGATACAGCAACCCCAGACGATCGTTTCAGCCTTGTTAGGCATCATCAGTGAAGCATAGCTGATATCTCTCTAGGCACCGTGAGCAAGGGGTCCACGTCTGGATTACCCTTTAAACTAATGGAGAGCAAAAAATGGGTCGCAAGAGTATTCTGAGAACGGACAGCAGCTAAATAAGCCCTAATTAGTAAATTAGTATGTGATTGCCAAATTTACCCCACCTAATTATTTGGGTAGTATGGCTACCCTGGTCAGACCTCATGCCCAACAATATTTAAACCAACACATAGCCGCCGTACCAACACAGCTCAAGTAAATAACTTTTCAATATTTTTCTGCATCTTCATGATTACAAAAATGTCAAGTTTTCACATTATTGGAATTTCTGTGACTTTAAAGTTAATTCTGTTCCCTGACTAATAGTAATGTAATCTGAAATACAATAGATTGGAACTGCTTCAACGGTTTAAAGTCAACATACATTAGATAGCTGTTAATGGCATCACAGAGGTTCTTCCATGGCCAGACAGCTTTTCGATAAAACCTTGTTCTCAGCGAAGTTTGTACCTCGTCAATATACCATAAAACTGTCATGTGAAATTACTTTCCCAGTGCCTTTACGCCAAACAGGAGCAGCATCGGGCTATTATAACCCGGCCTCTGACGCCAAACGCTGTGTTATGACGGATATTGATCTTGTATTCTTTCTATAATTATTTTTATCATTATTTTTTTCTTAAATTGCATTGGTTTTAAATGAAAACATTTATAAAAATATGAGTAGTTGTGGGAATATGTTTGTCATTAAAATAATAGAAAACACTTGAAATTAATTACATTTTAATACAATTGCAAATATAGTATCTGCTTTTCATCAGATTACTGTCTTGTTTTTAGTACTGAAAAGCTAGAGAGACCTAAACAGGGAATTTGGGAGGAAAATATCATTTAAAACAATATGAGGAAAAGCCTGTGAAATTACACTTTTGATTATTGTAAATACATTACCGAGTGATTGTGTATACCAATGGTTCCCAATTCAATTTTCCTGTGGAACCCTTTGACATAGTGTATCAACATTGTGGAACCCTCCCCCCCCCCACAAAAAAAAAAACAAGTTTGCCCCGTTGCATAAATCTTTCAATTAGCAGAGCATGAGATCTTCTTTTTTGTCAATTTTGTTTTTTTTACTATACATACACACACTAATTTGACACAACTTGACACACAGATACACACTGACAGATACACACTGACACACACAGGCACACAGATACACAAACTGGTACACAGGTATACACACACTGACACACAGATACACACACTGACAGATACACACGGACACACACTGGCACACAGATACACATACTAACACACAGATACACACTCTACAGATACACACTGACACACACAGGCACACAGATACACAAACTGGTACAAAGATACACACACTGACACACAGATACACACACTGACAGATACACTTGACACACACAGGCACACAGATACACACACTGACACACAGATACACTCACCTTGACACACAGATACACACACTGACAGATACACACTGACACACACAGGCACACAGATACACACACTGACACACAGATACACACATTGACACACAGATACACACACTGACAGATACACACTGACACACACAGGCACACAGATACACACACTGACAGATACACACTGACAGACACTGACACACAGATACACACACTGACACACAGATACACTCACCTTGACACACAGATACACACAGGCACACAGATACACACACTGCCACACAGATACACACATTGACACACAGATACACACACTGACAGATACACACTGACAGACACTGACACACAGATACACTCACCTTGACACGACATGGAATACCCATCGAATGTCGTAAAACGTCATGAATATATAAAAAAGGAAAAACAAATTCTAGTACAAACATTTGACAAATAAATGAATAGCAATCTTTTATTTCCCAGTGTCATCCTACGTGGACTTAATGACTACGGAAAACGACTGGTCCCCTGTATTTAGATGGCATGGAAAGCACACATAGCTTAGAATTATAATAAGAATTATATTTACTGTTTTACTGTATTTACTGTTACATTAATTACATAAAATAAAATGTATTTTATAATGTAACATTTGTAGAAAAGTGCTCAGCCGTGACCTATGAATTTATAATCTAAAAGAGATAGTAGTGGTTAAAACCTCCAAATTCCTCTGCTAGCTCTCGTCTTATCTCTCCATTTTAACCTTTAGATTGTAAGCTGTCTGGCAGAGACCTCTACCTTTTGTGTTAGTCTGTTTATATTGTATTGTCTGTTTCCCAATTGTTCAGCGCGGTGGAATATGTTGGCGCTTTATAAATGCCATTTATAAATAAATAAATACAATAGGTAACAGGATACAATGTAATGTTTGACTAATGGACCATTATTGAAGATTCTACTTAGATCATGATGTGCTTTGTAGGTAATTATCAATGATTTCAGACAGTGGAAAATCGCTCTCTATAAAGTAAAGTGAGACCAGGGTGTGTAGGAAGGGGAAGGGTGGGGTAAATGTTGCTGAGGTTGGAGGTAAGTAGCAGGGGAGGGTACAGGAAGTAGATGTGATGGAGAAGCAAATTTTAGGGGTTCACTGATGTGCACAGTTTGGGGGTCACCCATAGGAGAGACAGGGTACGGAGAATAAATGATGAAATAGTATTAAGACTTCTCTGCGTCATATTCAGTGTTCCATAATTGATATAATTTATGTAACGTGTGGATATATTGTTGCAGCATTATGGGGAAATAACCCTAAATGAATGGTAATATTGTGGTGAACATTGAATCCTTACCAGAGAGGTATGTGGAAGGTTCTGTTTCTGCCAAGATACAAAATTAGCAAATTCCCTTTTCACCATTTTCAGACAGGCATGAGCTTAAAACAAATGAGAACAATAATTTCACCTCTTTACCTCAAACTTGTAATGCAAGAGAATCACATGATACTGAATGACAAAACTATATAATGAAAGCCATGTACCTATATTAGTGAGCATTGTACTCGTGCCCCATATTAAGATTATAAGAGAAGTCGATTAACCCTTTCAGCTTGGTGTTTGAAGTGGGATTACAGCAGGACCATTTGCGGTTGAGTAGCCTTTTTGTGTCTTATTGACACCTTTGGTTCAGTAAGTCTGTATCCAGTAGATAGGAAAGGTGTAAGGACTTTAGTTATATTGAGACTGTAAATTGGTCTCCGGTTTTTACTAGACAGTTGGTCTAGTATAGGGTTCTTGGTAACCC